CAAAATAGAAATTTGCATAATCAAATTAGTTTCGAAAAGAGGTGTCATTAAAAAGTTTCGTGCAACTACAGTAACCTACGTAAGATCACGTATGTCAGTTATGATTAGAGCGCTGCGTATACGTTCTGATTGAAATTGGGTCAAGCTTGTCTAACTGTTAATGCTGAATTCAGCATAAAGTGGATTCGATGCAGCTTCTGTGGTAGCTAAACTTCTAAATGTTTTTCTTCTTACATCCATTCCAAATACGGTGCCAGAAAACATAACGAAAATCCAAAAACTGATGTCTTGGAACCAGTGGCTACCAAGCAAAAAGAAATTACATCTCCGGACGTCATTAGAGGAAACCGTTCTTGAGAACTAGCTGGGAACCTTTGAAAATCACTTTTTAACTTGGAAAAGCTGCCACTCGAAATCTTAATTCATTTCCTTCTTTTCTTTCTATCTTACTTTTTTTATCTGTATATCTAACAGATTTTCTCTTATTCTCATTCTGTCTTTCTTTTTCTGTTGAGAAACGAGAAATTGCCTTTCTTGTTTTTTCCTTCTTTTCAAAAATTATTCTTCACATGATATAGTTTGGAATCAAATCTGAACAAAATTTAAATTCATATGATATCTTTTAAAAACTTGAAATTTAAATTTTTTTTGACACCTGTACACGGACGGTGTACAAGTGCTGTGTACGGGAGCTGTGTACCCGCTGTGTACATGTTCCTTCGTGAACATGTAGAAAGTCCATTATAACTTTGACACTTGTTACATTGACTCATTAGACTGAATTATGATATTGTCACAGTAGTATTTCAACTCGGGTATTTACAATGACTCATTCCATTAACCTAATACAACATTGACGCAAATTTCACATTCTACGTTAAATTATAACTAGGTTTTTTTTTAAAGTCTTGTTCCAAAATTTAAAGAACTTAAAATGGATGAACGACTACACCATAGATGCAGGGATGATTTGTATTCATTTTTCCCAATAAGATCTCTACTGTCTTACAATAACAGATGGCAATATCTGTTCTCAACAGGTCTTGTATTTTAGTACCAATTTGTGATAGGAAAGTTATTATTTGTTCGAAGATCATAATTACACCAAGATGATCAGTCACCGCAAAACCCTGTTATCACATTCTAAAAATTTAATTACTTAAGTCGTAATGTAGATGATATATAGCCCCTCTTGAAGGGTTACTGAAGGGTTTTGTTGAAGGGTTACATCGATCTTTCCTAGATATGAAGAATTTGATAAAAAGAGTTTTATCATGATATAAATGAAGATAAATGAAATCAGGTAACGCTCATACGCCTGGAATAATACATATGCTTACGCACATGGAGCAATGTTCTGATATAATAACACCTAATGGAGAAGATGCGGCAATGGAGGCTCCTCCGGTAGCTGCTGCTGCTGCTACAGTGCCAATAGAACCAAGAACAATTGCTGCTCCGCAAGCAACTAAACAGCCTCCACAGAGAAATCCTATGGCTTCCACTTCTTGAACAAGAGGTTGAAAACATAGTGAGAACATGAAGAATAAAATCAGTCTCTCTGCGGATTTCATAATCAGATAGCTTCGTACTCAAGAATAGTAGCTCAGACAGATGAGGTGAAAGTTAAATAGCAAGCTATGAATGTCAGAGAACTCTTAGATTCTGTATTTTTTTGTTATTTTATACTTTCTTGCATGATGATACCAACAATAAAAACAGGAATTCGATGATGATGAGTGACCTCTGGTTGTTTATTTCAGATGATTCATTTTACCATCTTAGTAAAGAACCGTGAGCCTACGCGTTAGGGTCTCACCTTGCAATTGTAAGTTATCCTATACTAATGATATTTCATAGTAGGAAACGCGATGAAAACAGTGTTGTCAACACCTACTGTCCGACAGATAGTAGCCATGTTGCAAAAGTTGGAAAGTTTTCGAAAAAGTTTCAAAAAATAATAACACCAAACGGAAAAGATGCGGCAATGGAGGCTTCTCCGGTAGCTGTTGCTGCTGCTACAGTGCCAATAGAACGAAGAACGATTGCAGTTCCGTAAGAAACTAAACAGCCTCCAGAGAGAAGTCCTATAGCTTCCTTCATGAACAAGAGGTTGAAAACATAGTGAGAACATGAAGAATAGAATCAGTCTATCTGCTCTATTGGGATGGAAAATGTTTTGAAGGTAAAAATAATAGCTTCCACCTCATATACATGATGATTAACAATGAAAACTCAGAAGTATATAGAAGTTTTTTTGAAGAATATTGTTAAAAAAAAGCTCTTTTCGTTATTCATCGAGCACAGTCAAGAAACAGACATGAATCATGTTCAAATCAATGTTGAAATAAAAAGGAACTCATGAAAAGTTCCCCTTGTCGTAAGTAACAGTTTCATCTCGACTTTGTCTTCCAGAGCTCTACTATCTCGCTTTCATTCTGTTTTTATTCTTATGCTGTGTATGCTTTAGCATATTTTCTCTCTCTCTCACACACACTCTCAATTCTTAACTCTCTTCTTTTTTCTCCACTCTCTCATTAAATACTACAAGTACACTCAAATTCCTTGTATGCAACATTAAGATTTTGATACTTACTTGTAGACCAGATGCTTGTATGTGCTTAACTAATCCATTGGGTATTCTCCTAGTATGGCTTTAGAGTAAGGATTATTCTAATTCCGACGATGACCTCTTACTCAATCTACTAATTCCGTCTGTCAAATCGAGTTGTCGAATTGTTCAGATTTTCTGATTGCTTTAATAATCTGTCATAAGAATCGATAGCTCCATGAGGGAGGGAGAGTCGAGCGAATAGAAGACGAATACTTATAAGCTTCAATGCAGAAGCTGCATGAAACAGAAAATTATCAACTTGCTTTCCAGTCCGATCCTCAATAGCCAATTGTCAACAAACTATAATTTCCCTTTCATTCTGAAAAGGCTTTGAGTAGATAAAGAAGAAGAAGATGAAACGCGTAATTGACTAAATTCGGGAAGAACCAAGGATAAGCTGGATATTCGTTACTCACACCATTTGTTTTATTTGTATTTTGTTCCATTCAGTCGTTTTCGGTATCGAATGCTTCTCTGCTTCTCATATGAGAACTCTTTTTCTCTTCATTTCTTTCCCCTCTATTACGATAGAATCTCTCTACTAACTCGTCTATCGACTCTTTCAGACTCTATATATCGGCGCTCTCGTGATGACAGTGAAATGCTCATTTGATTAATTAGTCTTCCCTCTCTTTCTGGCAAATGAAGCCAAAAGAAAATCAATTTGGTCACAAACGCTTCTTCATCTAAGAGCATCGTGTATGTTTCACAACAAAAATACAGAATAAAACAATAGAATGTGCTTTTATGATATAAAAAGTTTCCTTTGTTTTTAATGTTTATGTTCTTCATTTGTTAACATTGAATACGTCTACATCGTCTGCTTTTCAACTTTGCATTCCATATAAAGACCTTTGATCTCCAACTTCAGTTGAGAAAAAAACAAAATCAGAATGAGAAGATCTTTGTTCATCAATGAGAAACATCGTTTCTCAAGCGAATTCTGCCAACAGAAAAAAGACCAAAAAATTGAAAAAGAACAAAGAGAAATGATGAACGTTTCCTCCAAGCTTCTCCAACAATCCCTCTCTTCCTCTTTGCAACTCAAAACATTTCATCTTTTTTGTTTGTTTTTCTCCATTAAATAGATATTTTTCGAAAAATTAGCGTTAAGTTAGCTTCTGATGCGCGAACCTCTGATGAACTTTGAGCAGCTCTTTATCAAACACCATCTTCGTGCTTGTATATTTATCGTTCATTTTTCATGTTGTCCTTCCTCAACTATTGAACTATTCCGATGTTTGAACATTTTCAAAGATTTTTCTTCCGAAACAAGTTGTTAACAACGGCTTTAAGTTATGTGAAATTTGCATAAAGTTGATGTCAAGATATTTTCGAAATTTTTGTCAGATTGCATGAAAAAAACAGAAATATCCTTCTCATATTCTCTCATGAAGAGATAAGCTTCCTTTCATAAGCTTCTCCTAGTTCCTATGTCAGCTTTATCGTCCTTTGTTCATTTGAGTTTAAAGCTTCTATCTCCCAATGGACAACTTGGTCCATATGCGACCAGAGGGAATTGGTCGCCGTGGCTATTCATTCTCGGGCAGCTCTTCCTTCATCTCTCTCACCCCTTGCATTTCAAGTATTTTTCATAATAAATTAAATTTCAAACTCAATACACCAGTCATTTAATTCAAATCTATCTTTGCTTTAAACTTTGTTTCCTTTTCATTCCGGTTGACAACTGGTTGCAGAAATCATTCGATAAACAGGCCATGGAAATGTATGAGCGAAACAACAAAAGAAGCAAAAAAGAGAGAAACAGAATGATAGGTAAGAGAGAGAGAGAGAGACAGAGAGAGAGAGAGAGAGAAAAGAAAAGGTTAAAGAGGGAGAAAAGTAATTATTCATGATCATTTGATAACTGGTATTCTATCCGAAATGTAAAACCTTGAGATACTTTCGCATTCCAATTTTCAATCCTTCGAAGACTTCCGTTTTCTTTTGTACCAAACTCAAGAAAGCTCTTCAATCTTTGAATATACTGAAGATGGTTTTATGCTGAAAGTGTAAACGATGTTCATGGATGAAGAAAAGATGCAAATGTGTAGACTTCAATCAGAATTCACCGAAATTGCTTTCTCCTAAATTTCTTCCAGCTTGCTCTCTTATTTTCGTCTCTATCCTTTTAAAATATTCTGACTTTACTTGCTTCTACCATTTTCCTCTATCTATGTTCAACTGAATTCTGTTTATTTCCGAAAACTCAAAAATCGTGTCCTCTCATAGATTCTTGGCTTTCTATCACAGTAAGCATCTACATATATCCTAAACGCAACGATTTCAAAATCCTTATTTTCAAGCTCTTTTTGTTATCTGTAACTCCACCCTCCTTTCTTTCAACAATTTGATATTCAGAAAGAAACATTTCGAAACAAAATCATCTTGTTTTTCCTCCCTTATCTCATTTTTATTTTCAAGCTCACACAGCTTTGTTTCTTTTCATGTCTGAGAGAATTAAGAAAACACTCGAATATCTTCAAGTTGTTCCTTCAACTTGAAAGTTGTCCGTTAAATTTCTCAAGAAATTGTTTGAAATGTTCGCTTTGTGCTTATCATATTTTCCATAAAACATTTAATGACAAGCTTTGCGCAGATGAGACGGTCATGTTCTTCCTCTCCATGGCTTTTGCTCCATTTAAACTAAACATTTCAGTCAATGTGAATGTCAATAGATTCTCCTATGACCACCCAATAGCAGGGACTTTAAAAGTAAAGAGAGAGAGAAAGAGAGAAATTTGAGAGGGAATATGTTAAAGAGAGAAAGAGAAATGTTACAAATAGACTCCAAACACACACACACACACACACAGACACACATAGACACATACACACGAAGACACCTCGAAACCATTTTGGTATTCAAACGATTTACTCCATATTAACCATATGCACATAGTTAGTATCAAGATATTCTAAGTAAAATATAATAATTTATTTATCAAAAAGATTTTGGATACAACGAAATCTTATTTTAATGACTATTTGTGATCATTTATTCATGAATATCACACAAATATTTATAAACTAGTTTCTCTTATTCTGTAATGTTTCATGCCAATACTCGTCTGAATCTATCATTTCCTCTTCTAATTCTCTCTTTCTCTCTCTTTTTGACCTTCTCTCTATATGTCTCTTTGCCTCAACCCCACTTATTATCCTACATTTTCATTCAAGTTCTTTCCTTTTATGCCGTGTTTCCGCTCATCCAAACCTCCTCTACCTATGCCGTTCATTTTCCCGTACTCTTCATCGTTCTCCCTCTATATTTTTCTCTCTCTTCCCTTCTCTATTCTCTCATTCATACTCTCTACCATCTCTCTTCCTTCCTCATCTTCAAAACTTCATTTGTCATTTCCGATTATCAGATACTTTATTGATTTTTTAATTATTCCCAATCTGTTTCTGAATAAACTTTATTCAAACGATTTTCTTTCGAGTCTGCAGTCTGAAACAAACTATTTCACAAACAATACCTCTGAAGATTGCTAGTTTTCCTATTTCTTTTTGTTCCTTTTTCTATCATTTCTTCTTTACAGATGTTTTCTTCCAATTTGCATATTTTGACGTCATTCCCACCTACTCACATCTATATCACAGATGATTCATTTCCATTAACTACCTTCGTACACATCCATCATTCCTTATTATAAAAATTAAATTTTATACGTTTTTGTTGTTTGAAAAGAATGAATTTGAGTCAGCTTTATTGACACGTGTGTTTCAATTACTCATATTCCTTGAGGGCTTATTGATTGAATGCACAAACAGCCAAACGAAAAACTTGATTGTAAAACCTCTTTTTCTGGGAACATGTTGATCATTTGTTAGTTAATTTGAAGTTTTTCTTTGTTAGATTTCTTATTTTGCATTATCATCAGATGAATACCATCTTCTTCTACAATAGAAAAATTCTATTTTTTGGTATTTCTTCTCATCTTTCAATGATAAACAAACTTTTTGTCAACGATTATCTGATGCCAAATATGGATATAGGGTCACTCTGCTTCTCTACTTCTCTCTATCTATTCCATTTCTCAAACCTCTCAGCAACAACAACAACAACATTATGTTCCCATTTTGGAAAGATGTCGGACAGCTGTGATCAGTCAGTAACGTTTGTAAAGGCACCCAATACAGAAGATACATGAGAAGAGAAAAGAGTTGTTGTGCGGTAAAAGAAAGAGAGAGAGAGAGAGAGAGAGAGAGAGAGAGAGAGAGATAATGAAGATGAAAGTATTCTATTGAATATTATGAGATACAAAAGAGGAAGTTCTCGCTAAGGAACAGAAAGGTTTTCCTATCCCTACAGTTGCGTGGAAGGTCTCGTTTTCGCCTCAAATTGCTAAGAGGCAGCGAAGAAGGTTATAAAAGATGAATGAAAGAAGAACTTCTCTTCGAACCTTTTCTTCTCAACCACCTTATTCAATAACAACCATTTTCCATATAAGACCATTTTCATTCTCAAAAACATGTCGATGAACCTTCAATTTCCTTCTTTTCTTTTCTATCATCCAGAACTTGTTTGGATTTTCAGATTTTTTTTTAACTGAAAGCTTTCTCTTTACATATCAATTTCAATGTTGTTTTTTGTAATTTGTTGCATCCGTTCGCCATCAAACAATGTTTTCAATCAAAATTGATTTTCCTTACACTGAAATCTGTATTTGTTCAATGAGTTTCATTGTTAACTTCTTTGCTGCTTTATCAGTTGCTTCTTAACTTTTTTAGAAAAATATTATGAAAAAAGCTTCATTCATTCATTCGTCTCTGCCCTATGATCTTCCTTGTTCTCTCTCTCTCTCTCGTTTCTCTCTTTTCATGTATATTAATATAGCAATTATCTTCTCTTTTCAAATGTCATAGAAACGGCTTCGAAGAGGCAAAAATCCAATAAATGCCTTAACAACGCCTTTTTCCATTTTTTATTCATTTTTATTGAGCACCGTTTGCTTTAATTTACATATATGGAGGTCATGTTTATCTTCTCAGAAAGGGGCTTGGCAGACAGGTTATCATCCCAGCTGGTCGACAAAAAGCTTCAAAAGGATAAATATTATAATCTGCTCTTCGTAACTACACCTTCTCTCACTTTCCTTACTTCTTCAATGCTCTCCAAATTGTTGTCGTAGATTTTAATCAGAAAAGACCAAAGAAGGCCATTTGACGTGTCAATTTTTCATTTGCAACATTTCGCTCTAGTTCTCTCTCATTTGCATATTCACGTCAATATTTTCACGCGGATTTTTTTATTTTCAAGGTTTTTTCAGTTCTGAACGGTTGGCATTCATTACATTTCAAATCTCTCCTTGTTATTCCTCCACCCTCTCTCTCTTCCTCTCTTCCTCTCGTTTTCTCTTCACTCGTTTTCTTCAATATATTTCATTGTGCTATGCTTGACTTCTGCAAGCAATCGAGAGAGGATTACAAATCGATTTCGCTTTTCCACTTATGAAGGCAATGCTTATCAGCTGTGGTGGCAAAAGACTTACATTTTGCCAATAAAATGGCCTCAAGCGTTGAAACAATATGGTTTTGTTTAAACAGAAAGTTTTTTTTTGTTTTCTTCTCATTTTGTTTCAATTTTTGGCTTAAGACGAACAAATTGCCCGAGGACATGTTGTTCAATCACTCTGCTTTCATGTTGATTAATGTTTCTTTTCTTTATCTTATACCTCCTTCGATTGTATGTTAAGAGAAAAAGGACATTTACTCTCTCATTCTTTCTCATTTTTTATTTTTTCCTCTTTTACCTATCCCATCATAAGCTTTCTTGCTATGATTCTGCTGTTCAACATCTATTCTTAACATGAACTACTTAGAATTGCCAGTATTCACGTGTTTCTCGCATAAACCTTCAGCTTATTTCTCATGCTCTCTCTCTCTCTCTCTCTCTCTCTGGTATTGTGAATCAAAGTCAAAATCTATTTTTAACATTGAAAATATCCTATTTCTCTTCTCTTTTTTTTACATTTGAATAAATAGAAACTTCAGTTATCTTCTATACATATGTCTTGTTTATGAATAGATTTAATGATGTAGAAAACATTCATCTAACCGCTTTTTTCTTTCAGATTTAGTATATATCACATAGTTAACGGACGGAGTTATGACAGAAATATTGCCTTCCCCCCCAACATCTCCAAACGGCGTTAATTGTAAACGGTAATTATGCTAATTTCATATAAATTCTTAAATATTTAAAGAAAGACAAAAGAGAAAGTTTGTTGAGATACACACACACACACCTGAAAAACTAACCGTTTGTCTACACGTAGTGAATGATGAAATGGCGTTTTCAATTATCTCTTTGACGTAAAAATCTTTTATTCTGAATTCCTCGGCAGTTGAACAGAAAGAAGTGTTTGTTCTGACAAATTGTTGATCTTTCAGCCCCTTTTTTGTTGTTTTTATGCACAGAAAAAGAGGAAAAGTTAGAAATTTTGAATGTTTTCTGACTTTATCCAACCTTACGTAGAACAATCTTCTGCCTTTTCTACATTAGTTTGTCAAAAAACCTCTTCAGGGTCATCTGTTATAGACGAGAAGAGTGAACAGACGTCACCCATTTCTGATTATCAATTTCATATTATTTAGGATTTTGTTAGTCACAAGGTTTTACTCTGTATATCGTTAACAAAGTCTTTAAACCTTTGTATTCCTTCTTTGGAAGTTTTCTTTCTTTTTTTCTATGAGAATATATTCTCTCTAAAAACTTCTTTTTTTTTCTCTCTCTTCTCTCATCATTCATTGTTTCTTAGCTTTTAGCAGCTTCTGCTTCATTGAATTCCTCTCCTCCAGATGAACTTTACACAAGAAGAGCCAACAGTCAGAAGAAAAATCTGTTCAGTCATAAACAGACCATTTATTCCATTTGGCGAATCAGAAGAAGAAAAAAGAATATTTTTCCCTCTTCATGTCATCCTCTGCTTGTCTTTTAAAATAGTTTTCTTTCTTTTTCATTCTACAAAAGTTCATTTTTATAATTTAATTTTCAACTTATTTTGACGTCTCCTTTACACTTATTCCGTTTCCAAGGTTGTTCTTCTCCAAAAAAAAATTTCTCGTTTTGCAAAACTTTTGCTTAACCTTCTGAACATTTAAGAATATTATTGTGAGAAAATATTGAATAGCTCATTCTTCTTCTTCTCTTCCATGTGACTTTTTTCATTTTTTTTTCTGATTTTTGCCTTTAAATTCTCTCCACCTCATTCACTCTCTCTCTCTCTCTCTCTCTCTCTCTCTCTCCTTCTCTCTCCCTCTCTCTCTTACTATATCTTCTTTTTGTACATAATTTCAATTATCCAAATCTCAATAATGTATATGCCTTATCAACGTCCTTTCCTAATTCCGATTAATTCAAGTTTCGAAAATGAGAAATATTCTGAAGGTTTTCCGTCGACGGTCAGACGGTAAGAAGTAGGTTGAAATTTCTTTTTTTTACTTTCAAACTACGTGTATGAACAGAGACGAATGGATGTTTGAGACGTTTCATGTAGATTTGTATTTTCAATAATCATATTTCAGGGTTTCGTTTGGAAACGACGACGTGAAGACATTCATCTATGAGAAAGAATCAGATGAACCAACACCTATTCTCCATCGACAATCTTTCACTGAGTTAGTTTTCGTTTTTTTTCTTTTTTATTTGTTCGAAAAGTTTACTTGGAAGATTTTTCATGTCTGTTTACTTAGGCACTTCTCTATACTTCGCATGATTTCTCTGTTAATTTGTATAAAAATCATTATGCTATCTAGAGGATCCTCTCTCTCTCTTTCTTTCTCTTCCTCTCTTCCTCTCGCTCCATGTCTCTACAGCTCTGTCTAGATTATCTTTTGGATCTCATTACCTTCCTCTCTCTTTCAAAAACAATCTCGTTACATCCCTATACACTCTACCTCTCTCCTTCCCTATGTCATACTCTCATCGCTCTTCCTCAATACATTTCTGCCATCTCTCTTCAAACTAATATTTCTTTTTTTTGAAATTTCTATTTATCGCACACTCACAGATCATTCGATTCTTTTGAAATAAAATTTTAGGACAAAAAAAAGTTTTTTTTTATGGAAAATACTTCGATTTTTTGGTGCTCAAATATCACAGACGATATAGCGAAAAGCTATTTTTTGAAACGAAAAATAACGAAAAGCCTAATGAGTGTGTCAGAAAAAGAGAGGCGGAGACTCAGTGCATAGTTAGGAGCAGGAGGAACTGCCTTTCCTTTTTTTTATCTCTTATCTCTCTACCTCTTTCTCTCCCTCCCTTTCTGCCTCTATCTCTCTTTCTCATTCTCTCTCTTTCTCTCCACGAAATTCCATCCGATATTCGCTTATACACAGCCGGCGAACTATTCAACAAGCCAGTTAGCTCGCTTCTCTCAAGTCTCTTTTTCTCTTTTCATTCTCTCAATTTTCAATGAAATTTTACAATATTTGTGTGTTTCGTTCATCTTGCACCTCTCACCTCTCTTCTTTCACTTTTTTCTCTCTTTCACTTATTTTTCTCTATAACATCTCTCATATTTCAATAGTGTATTCTGATTATCTTTCTCACTCTGCTAGATCTCTCTCTTTATATTATTTTCATCTCTCCTCTTTTACTAGAGAGTTGCTTTTGCCTGAGCTAGAGGAGGTTCAACGGCTTTTGCCTCATTCTACTCCATAAAAACTATGACAAAGTAAGTTTATCATATTCATTTTTTAAAACATCTTCCGTCCTTCTTCCACTATCTCTTGGCCGTTCTGAAGCTGAAAGTGTTCGCTCATAACTATCTGCCATCGGTATTTCGTCAAATCAATACTTTACTCATCTCGAACTGTTATTTCTTCGAGCTCTTTCCCGTTTGTTGTAAAGTTTTGAACGTCCTTTCGTTTACATGAAACTTCAGCTTATTCTCAGTTCATTCTCTGATGATTGTTCTTTGCACCATATGCTGGTGGAATAGCATACGCACCGAAACAATTTTTTTTTTTACATTTCTCTTTTTTTTGTTTTTTTAGTCTGTCAGATGATAGAATTGATTACTCTCAACTAGCTTAACTTTATTTGACAGCATTTTGAAGCTTTTGTTGATTTTTCATAAACTTCTGATCTGCAGCTTCCTCTACTCTCTTCACCAAGTTATTTGAAAAAACTAGGTTGTCCTTGGTGTGGAGTTTTGAAATGAACAAGTTTGAAACTCTTCTTTTCACTCAACATTCAATCTTTTTTTCAAGTTGCATTTTAGTTTCTTCTATTCCGCTACTCCTAATTCAAAAAAAGTTTTTGTATGAACAGTTGATAAAGAGCTCAAGGAATAAGTTTCATGCGAAGGTTTCACAGACATTTCTTAAAAAACCTTCCATACTCTTCTGTATTTCTATTTGATTTCTCTCTATCTCCACGTCATAATACTGTTTCCATATTCCTTCATTATTCTTACAAAGATGATTAATCTCCTTTCTCTCTTCACCAAGAACCTCCGCTCTCTATCCTCTCTATCTATCCTCGCCTCTCTGTCTTTCGTTTTTTGTATGCATGTGGTTTCCGGTTGCGAGCTGTGCAACATCGTAGAAATTGTGCTCCGTCTATCCTCAGATAATTCAGCTTCTATCGATTCACAGCTTCTCATGTAATAGTTTTATTCTCACGCTGTTTGGTTTACTCAAATAAGATGTGAGAAAAATCGGAAGAAATGCCATGTTCTTTCCTGAGCTTCTTCGCCTATCCTCAATGAATAATAGAGCGAGTGAAGTGGAATTTGCGTTCAAACGACTTGTAGTATAAGCTTCAAACTTTTCGAGTTCGTTAGGACATTTCTGAACTCATTAGTTCCAATTTGAGTTTATCTCTTATCTTGCTGTCCCACATGTTACATCTTGTATTTCCTCCTACTCTCTTTAAGTTTATCTTCTACCTCGTTCTCAAATCTTCTTCTTCCTCTCCTCTTATCATGTTTGTCCGAACATTTTTTAAAACTCACGAAATTAACAGTATTGAGATGACAAATGAGTCATTTAAGAAGGGGGTCACAACAAAAGAATTTTGGAACAACTCAAAAGCTTTGCCGGGCGGACGGCTGTTGGTTGACTGTCTTTCATTACACTCAGTTCAACTCTCTTTCTCTCTTCTCTCAATTCAATCCCCTCTTCTTTCTACGCCTCTCTCTCTTAAGAACTTTCCTTCTTTCTGAAGGACAGTTGTCATCTTTGGTGCAAAGCTGCTTAAAATGTCCTTTTCTGTTATGCAAATGAGGGAAAACCTTGATAAAAAAAAAGATTTTTCTGTTTTTTTGTAAATACTCTTTCATGACGTCAGAAATGATGTTTTGTTAACTTCAATAGTTTCCATTCAGTTGACTGTTGTCTGTTTTCTTGTAAACAGAATATGCGATGAATTGAAAAATGGCTGGAAATCAGTTCATTTCTGAGTTTCTCGAGTCGTTTTCGATAAAAAAACAAAAAAAGTTTATTTATTCCCAAAGTTTTGTCATTCAAATGTCGTCATTGTCGTTAAAGCTTCAGCTGCTTTTTCCTCCTCTCCCGTCTTCATTTTTTCGTTTAAAACAAATCTCCAGTGAGAAAAAATGTTTTTCTCTTCGAATAACAAACTTTCATGTTTCCATGTTTGAATCAGATCTGAATTGATGTCAAAAATGTTTAAAAAAACAATCTTCGCAACATTTGTTTTGCTAATTTGATCCGTTTTCCACTGAAACTTCACCAATCGTATGTATTCTATGGCAAACTCTTGATTCCATTGGGAGATTGTTTGTTGGAAAGTGGGAGGAGAAAATCTTTAAAGTTGCAACTTTTTTCCTGCGCACTCTCCCCATAACGATCATGGGCTGCGCAAAAAAATTTTGTTTCCTCAAATTCTTTTTTTTTCATTTCGTTGTAAATCGAAAAGAATTACTCAGAAAAGCCTTTTAACTCTCTTCGTTTTAATCATTTTCTCTTCGACCAAATTGACAGACTTCATAGCTCTTTTTTGAGCTTCAACAAGAAGCAGACGTCAAAGCGGCTTTGAGTAAGGAGGCAGCGTCATTAAATTCATTGCGGGCATCTGGACCCCGAGGGCATCATGACCAATTTGTGGTCATCGATTCTATCATTGACAGCTTTGAGACAATTCTTCTCTTTTTTTTGTACTTTGAAGCTTTATAGCTTCCCCTTTGTAACATATGGGGCTTGAGCCATCCTTTTCTAGTCATCGGATTATAATAAAACGATTTTTAATGTTAACGTTTGAAAAAAACCCAAACACTACTGTGATTGACATTTGTTCAGCTTTTATTGAATTCTATTCGTGGCTGATATGAGCAAATATTTAATTTAGAAGTATAACTCCTTTTTTCGTATCAAGTTGAATGAAACAGCCATTTTGTTTCAAAATTATTTCCTTCGAAATTCCTCTGAAGCTTGAAGGAAGTTTTCTTTGTTCAGTCACTGAGAGTATACCGAGCTCATTTTTTGAACGCTCCAATCCTGTAAAACCACTAAGAAATTTTGAGAGCAATCAGGCTCGATTTGTAAGAAGAGAGAAATCTTTTTTTGCTGTTAAAAAGAGTAGGATACTTGGTTTCGTTAGAAGAGTATGAAAAAGTCTCAAAACTAACAGAAGAAGCTTTTAAAAGCGGTTTGGGTTCGTTGTCATTAAAAGGACAGACTAGTGAGTTGCAAGAACATGGACTGAAAACAAAAAGGAAGAAGAAAGGATGTTAAAGAGAGAGGGAGACTTAGAGAGATAAAGGAAAGAGAAAGAGAGAGATAGGAAGAGAAAGAGAAAAGAAACTATGAATACGAAGAAGCAGAAGCACCAAATAGCCAGCAGCTAGCCCAACATAGCTTTTTCTCCCAAAAGAAGTAGCAGTTGCCATCCCTCTATCTCTCTTTCTCTTTTCGTCCAAAAATCGATACACAATCTTTGCATCCTTTATTGCTATTATATGTTGTATAGTCCGTATTAACAATACTTTTGATCTAGATTTCCATGCCTCCTTTTTGGAATAGATTATGGTGGCTTAGAACAATTTTCGGACAGAGATGCTTACACTTTTGCTTTGTCTCTCTCTTTCTCTCTGTTCACATACTTATATCCCTGCATTATATACCTACTGTCTAACAGTCTTCTTTTGTTGAAAAGTTCTAACGATGTAACTCCACAAGAAGGAAAATGCCATGGGGAAATGCTCCACCCCCATCGACCTCAGGCCTTCAACTCCATCTTCTTTTAGCCTGCAGTTATTCTTATGTGTTTCCTCCGTCTCTAACCTTCCCCTTTTTTTCTTTTCAATATCCTCGGATCTCTTCAACTTCCCACTTGTGTACACTATCTCTCATCCAATGTCCTCAGAATTCAACTGACCACATATGGCAATCGTAGCATCATGGTTCATAATAACTATCATGCATTATGTATATTAAGAGAGTGCAAAGAAACACATACTATGATAGAGACATATTGAGAAAGGGAGAGAGGGAGAGCGCGAAAGAAAACAAGAGCAGGCGGAAAAGTCTTTTTGGCGTCTTTACTTCAACCATCTCGTTCATAAACTATTAATTTATAATATAATTTTCTCTTTTTTTCTGTGATTCATGCCTCTGTACAGCTCCTCTCTCGCATCCAAAACAATCAATGAATTTACTAGCTGAAACCCAATTATTAAAACCTTCTTTTTTCAATTCTTCTTTTTTATCGGCTCTACCTCTCTACCTCTCTCTCTCTACATCCTTTCCTCTCCTTCTCTTACTCTCTTTTACTCTTTCTGCCTCTGTGTGAGCTTTTTTTGGATTAATATTTGATTGAACCTGTCGTTTGCTCGCAAATAACATTCCCAAATGAAGTAACTACTCTATACCCCCCCCCCCTGTTTCAAATTCGACAACTCCTAACATTTGAAGCGAATTTTCAAAATTTCTTTTCATTATATACATTTAAACATTAACGTTGTTTAGTTAACAGAAATTGTTCCAAGCTATTACCTCAAATTCATCTTTTTTCAATCAATTTCGCTTAAAAACAAAATGAACCTCAAACGATTGTGCGAGTGTCACAGATTTTTCTTCTGGGCTTTCAAAATACTTCGAATTGAAGAGACTCTTAAAGATCCTTTGATAGGGCCATTGAAGGTGGGAATAGCTATCCCTCTAGCTTATCTCATCTACCTTAAGCTTAATCCTCATATATAATCAACTGCTTATTTGCGCATAAATCATGCTAATGTATTCGTATTCTCGAAAGTATTGCCATCAATTGATTATTTCCGAGTTAAGATAGAACTTACTCCTCTTCTTCTTTCAAGCTTCTTCCCAGCTTTTCCATTCGTTTTGGTTTCATTCAACTGATGAATCTAAAGTCTGACGAATCAATTCCCCCCCTTCTCTCGCATTCTCTTCTCTTGTCGCTCTCTTCAACCCACTTTCCATTCCCTCTTTTCATCTCTGTACTCTCCTAATTTCTCCCTCATTGTTTCATTTCCATTTTTCTGTGTCTGTTTCCATTTATTCCTTGTTTAACCTCCTGTAACTTTTTGTTCTCTCTGTTCTTAGTTCTACCAACATAACCTCGTTTTTTATCCAAAAGTTACAGTAAGACCTCATGAGCTATCAATAGCTGTGACAGTGGCTTTTTGGCTTACATGTCCATTAAAAAAATTGTTCATTTTGTCCATTTCAACTAAAAACCCAAATGAGGCATTCACTTCTGGGGTTCTCCCCATCTCCCTCACATCTTGTACAAGTACAATCACTCGTTATAATTTGACAAACTTTACTTTCTGGTTCATTATTGATATTTTTGATTTCAAATCATTTCTATAAGTCGACTCTAAATATCATCCAAATGTTCCATGTGCATAACCCTCAACGACATATTTCCGTTCATCAAATAAGTAGAGAGATGTTATCGAGAAGAAAGCAGAGCTTCAAAACATCCCATACCAACAACTAGCTTCTATTCAACAACATTTGGAATGAATTCATTTTTAGCAAGAACTGTTGTTTCACGCTATAAAGTACTACACGTGCTCACGTGAAAGATCATCTCAGTATGTAAATTACATTTTGATTGTTTTGGATGTCAAGAACGGTTGTATTGGTTATTTTTAAGCGACTATTAATTCATAACTTTCCGTTTGATTCGTTTTCGAACATGTTTTTTGAGCTTTGTTTACATGTACTCTAACCTTCACCCAGCCTTTATTCTCCATATAATTATTCTCTTTAACCTTAAGCAGGTGACGATAATTACGTTCTTATTCATGTTCGCCTTTTCTGCTTACAATTTGACTGGTTAGTAAGAAAAGATGCCAAAAAAGGAAGAAAATAATGCGGAAAGTTGGAAGAAGTTGTGAGAAGCATGAGAGAAGCTTTTTTACTATTCATTGCTCAATGAAATCGATGAGAACTTTTTTTCGCTTCGTCTCTTAAATTTGATGGAGAAGATATCTGTTACATTCATCAATGTTATCAGATACAATATCAAATAGTAGGTTCAAAAAGAAAATGAAAAATGTTTTTAATTGGTGCTGGCAATAATAATTTTTCTCATCTTCACATTTTCTCTCTCTTTCTCCTCATTGTAATTTTCCTCTCATAACATATCCTCTGACTATATGCATATGTGTGTCTAAAACTAATTGAATTGTCTAAATAGCCAGCTGCACACCGTCTATTCCAACCATTATCCCTCGACACACTTCAATGTGAAACCATGAAAAGAGGGGGGAAATATTTTTTGCTTTCCGATGATATTCCCTGAATATTTGGTTTCGAAATAGTGATTAAACCTTTATTAGATAACAAAGAATAAGAACTGAATTTAAAATTATTGGTTTCAGGCCAGACGCTCCAGTCAACGTCGTTACAGTGACGTCCGATACGGTCCAACCGGAATCCCCAAACCCCATTCCACCCCCCACGCAGATTGTTGAAATAGACGAATTTCGTCGAGGAGGTACTATAAGCCCACCTCTGCCAACAAAGTAAGCTTGACAGCTAATTCGATCTTGTGATGCTCGGTTCCAGAAAAATGGCGGAACATGAGAATCCATTCCGACCAGAAGAAAATCTGTATCATGAAGTGGATCCAATCGTAGAACAGTATCTTCATAAGCCTTTTCCTCCTAGTCGACCAGGAAGTGCCCAAGGAACTCCTGTTAAACAACAAGCAAATGATAGGTTTCTATATCAATTACATTTGTTAATCTTTCACTCATCTATTTTTAGTAATGACAAATCATATTTGAAAAATGGACTTTCCAAGGAACAACTACTTCCTTCGGAAAAAGTTTCCGGCAACCAAGAACACATAACTACCCACGATAGCTACCGACAACAATCACCAGATGCTCAGTATGTTTTAGCCTTTACAGTTGTCATAAAACAGATATTTTGAAATTTGAAAACTCCTTGAAAAGCGCGTCTGCACGCGTACGTTGCACTTTCAGTTATTTTACAGTTTACAGATTTTTTGTTGCTTTCTTTAGGAAACTTTTCAGTTAGATTAGATTATAATATATAAAAATGAATTATTAATTTTACTTACATGGGTCTTTTAAAGGATCCGTCAGGCTGCCAGCAGCCAGGTTTGCTGTTCATTCTATTCAATTAGATATAGATGGACGATAGAACCGTAGCTAGACAGATAACGCTAGAATATGATATAGAAGTTATGAGCTTCAAGCATATTTCTTATACTTTAGTTTAAGCATTCGATTAGATAACTAGTCAGAATTGCTATATAGAAGCTTTTAGATTTTCTTTAGTTTTTTTCTTTTTTTCTTTCAAATTATACTTCTAGCTTATCCCCAATTAAGCTACAGTTCTTTCTGTCATTCTCACCACTAAAAAAACCTTGTTGGCAAGGAAATTACACACAAGCACATCTATCCTTTCATAGACATCCAAGCACAACTCACCTCTTCTATATTAAACTATTAAACTGGCTATTGGGGTGCGGCCCTAAAGAAAAAAGAATCGCCTAAGCTTTTCCTGTGCATACTTACCTCGTAATCTATTTTTCTGATGAAAATTAGTGATGAAAACATAACTGACCAATTGATTAAAAATATTCTTTTTTAGGCTTTCCAACGATTACACAGACGATCTACCACCAGCGGGCAAAGTGGAACTGGTACATGTGAAGCGGAAGCGTTGCGGCTGTTGCTCTGTACAATAAGCTCGACGAATGAGCCTGAAAAAGTCAAGCTGGTTACCTTCCACTAGTCGGCTTTTTGTTGGAGAGACGAAAATATGATTAAACTGAGATAATCTAGTACAACCTTCTATCTTACATTTTCCCTCTATAGTTTGTCAGTTTTGCATTTCCGTTTCTGCTTTGCTTCTTTAATATCCATCAAAAATTGGTCAGTCCAAGCTTGGCTTCACTGCCACTTCTGTCGCCTAATTATTGTCTTTTTGGAACAAAATGAAAAAACTTACCAATTAAATTGACAATTTGTTTTTCCTAAGTAAAGTTTATTTGTCAACTCAATTGAGCTAAAATTTCGTACCGGTGTTCGCTAGCTTGCAAAATGATAGACTTTTTCTATTCTCTTCACAGCTTGTACCAGAAAGTAAAAAATAGCCTGTGAGTTATACATTTAGCTTGGAGTTCTTATATGTACGTCGCTCAGTCTCTAGAATTATTCCCTTGAATCCTCTTTCCACTCATTCTCACTCGAGCACAACCCTTCATTTATGTTTTTCTTCTCATTTTCTTGTTATTTGTCTCTCAGATTTATTTTATATTATACATATTATACAAAATTCCTTGTTTGGAATATTGTGTGTTTATTAATCGCCAATGTAGTTAAAGTGCCGCCTCTAAGCTTCATCGAGACAGGCGGGCTCCGACTAATAAACGTTTCTTTCTATAGCTTTTAATTATCAGCTTGATTAGGAATAAACATTTTTATTACAGTTATTATTTTCTTCCTAAACAAAGCATAAATGCAACACTTGAGCAATATTCAGTAAGGGGAATTCATACCCAACTTCGTATCAAAGGCCAGCTTCGTCCTTCGTTGGACTCTGTTAAAATCCCTTATATGTCGATATTTCTGAATTTCGTTCAATGCCATCATGACTGGCGTCCAGAGAATAATAATGGCCAAAGTATAGATAGAGAGAACCCGATGAATGTAGACTCCACTGAGATAGGAGAAAATTACCTTTAATAAGAATGGTATCATGGTATTTTTTTTCTAACCAAAAATACCTGAGTAAGAAGACAAACCAAAACTGAAAGCATCCAAGGCATTGAGATAAAAGGAACTTGATGCCAGAACGAAGACATTGGATAAACCCATGACGCCGAAGTTATGCCAGTAAAAAGAACCATCTGCGGCAAAATTTTTCAGAAAACCTCTGGTTTCGATCAACTCACATAAAATCCCAATAAATGACGAATTTCATGAGTTGACAGATGTAATAAAGCTTCTTCTCCAAATGAACAGACGGCATCGGAAAACGAACATAACATTGTCGAATTGCGAACGAGCTAAATGAACAAGTCGTTTCGCGGCGAAAAAAATAAACTAACAGCGAAAAAATAAAGAAAAATCAAAAATAAAGTTGTGGGGAGAAATTGAACACCGAAAGTTGCAATCCCAGAAATTATTTGTTGGCGATCTAAATTCGACGACGTCTTGAAATATAGAAACATTACAAGGTTGCTTTCAATTCATAAAGATACTTTTGAAGCTATTTTGATAACCGAATGTTTCGGATTGAATGGTGTCCATACAGTACCCAAGAACAATACTGGTAGATGAATGAATGTTGTTAAGAAGACCTATAAATATCAATCCTTAGTTGAAGAGAAAGAAAGAAGGCAACACTCACCTGTTGTGTTGTGAACATCAAAGGTAAAAACAGAATAGTGGAAAGGAACAGAAGCATAGATAGTTGGAGGTGACAATAGAGGTAAAATCGGAGAGAAGCTCTAATGGATTCCAAGCGGTGTCTACACCCAACTATAACATCTGTTAGATTAGAGATCTGAAAATATATTCATGCTATGATGATATAGTGCGAAAAACAAAGTACCTGATCATGATTCAGATGAAAATCTGTAGCTAAAGCCATAATATCCGCAGCTATGTCACAAGCGTATCGTGAACCGTTGGATAGAACTGGGCGAACTAAATGACAGTTGAAGTCTATTAGAGGAGTAACAGATATGGAAATATCACTCTGAAATTGTGAGTGTTTTAATTATAGCATGGAATTTCACACCTGTCCGAAGGCATCTATGTTGGACGTGTTCAGAGCAGATCCTATCAGCAAAACAGTTTCTCCATACTCCTATCAATGACCCAACTAATGGAACACAAGATTCAAATACCTGCATAATATTTATCATTTCAGATGTTACGATGGGTGTACAATCTGTAAATAGTCCAACCAATAATGGAACATTATCCACATCTTCCAAATGTGGACGAACAGCAGATACACCGGTAGGCAGTTGTGCTTTATTAGGCATAGGTCCAACCTGAATAATACTTTTATAAATAATGCTCTCCATTCAACTTTATCGGGAGTGGTATGCGATCGTTGCCGGGACGGTGAAATCCTCATATCACAATCTAAGAAGCTCAACGCTATCTCACTCCTGAAAAAAAAGGTTACAGATTTACATTCGTGTAGTAATCTTACTTTGAAGCATAAATTCTGCGTAAAATTCTCTTCCGGAAGACAGGATCATCCCATTTGTCTCGATTTCGGCCGACTACCAAATAAAGAAATTTGTTGTAAATGATGTGGAAGACTTACCACTGGCTAAATATACGTCTTTACGTGTTCTGCAATCCTCCTCTTCCTCATCGGCCAGAGATATGTGACAATTCCATCCTGCTTCTAATCCTAATCAAGAATAAAACTAGAATTAAAAATTGAAAAAGGCTATTACCGATTTTCTCAGCAAAAATTCTACTTCTCAATTCATTTTCTTTGGAGAAATAAACGAATCTTACACAATTATTCTCTAACGATTCCACAAAAGGAACAATGTTAGGTAAAGCCTGTTCAATGAAATATTGAAGGTTGGATTTCTTAACTATATACCTCATACTGCATGAAAATCATTCCATTCAATACATGGTCTGAGAACACATTGTCCACTACCTCACTCGATGTTTTCAGCTTTCTGTGTGCAAAAAACTCATCGCGTAATAGCTCGTCTGGAACTCTTACTTTTCAATTTAGTTTATTCTTTCTCACATACCAAAACTATGAGATCTTGGAACAGAAGCAATGGGCTCTACTGACGGAGTTTCGTTGATAGGTACTTCTACGAACTTACCTTTCAAAGATTCATCAATAATACAAGTAGTAGCACGATAAGAAAGAACCAGTGAGTACCTATTGTGAAGATCATAATCTGGCTATCATAGAAACAAACCCCGTCATGGAATTTCTTTGATACATATCTTTGACTACCCGAACTAGTCTATCACTTATTGGTGTTAACTTTTTTCCATCCCAAACGTGCGTGCAAGCCTAAAATACAACTTTTTTTCGAAAACAAAAATGTTACAAACATCTAAAACTATTCCAGCAGTCCCCTGGCAGTTAACATGCGAGTGGATTGATCGTAGATCGGTATGTATTGTGCAAAAGGCCATCTCTAGAGGTGTCCGGTGTTTAATCAATCTTTAAATCCGAATTACTGAAATTAGGAACACAGATCCTTACCCCGGAACAGGATCTTCGCCAGGTTGTCTTTTGTACAAGCCAATCCATTGTGGCTCTATATCAAAAAACTGTTTAATAGATTGTTCAGTGAACCTAGAAGAAGTACACTCAAGTGACGGTATCGAGTCAACCCACCCTAAAAGTTCTGGAAACTGGCACATACAACGTTTGCTAGTTGTAACTATGGTTCTAGGAACATCTTTCGCAACACAACTGAGATGATCAAGAAAATGATGGTACTTGATCAAGTTTTGACAAGAGTTTAACGATAAATTTAGGGCGAGTGGATACAAATGCTCCTTCTTTTCGAGCCTACAACAGTTTATCTTCAGACGTTCAGCTAACAGTAGTAATAGATAGCCCACCACAATTGACTATCGAAGTAGAGCCTCCATTTGTCATTCACCAGTTCAGAGCTTAAGTCTAAGACATCGGGGATGATAATCGAGGAATTAGCACTCGTTTCACGAAATACAACTACCTGACATTGATAGTGTTGTTAATTCGAACTTGATCTAATATAACAAAATACTTGCACATTGGCATACCTTATCGAGACTGGGATTGATAGGCGACAGAACGCCTTTTTTGTCTATGACAGAAACCCCGGTTAAATTACCAAAAATGACTAAGTAATCTTTAAGATTATAATCCCAACTTTCTTCCCCTAAACTCTGGGAAACAACATAATTATTCCTGAAACTTATGAATGAGAGCAACTTCTCACAATGAAACATACCACTTTCGTATTATGTACAGGATGAACGGTGTCATGGGGCACGTGAAAGGTAATAGAATCAACGACATTATTGAAAAAATGTACCTGGTGAGGGAAGGATCAATTAAGAAATGATATTCAGGACTACCTGGTACCAAAAAACGATTGGCTATTACCATATAAATAACGAACAGTTACAGCTCCAACTACAATCAGAGTATACCCCAGGAATCCTATTTTCTCCATTAAATTCATGACAGAATGAATCTGAATCACAGTACGAATGGAATTTTGAATAAGCACACCTGTCTCTCTAAAATGTTGGGCTGCGACGTTATTGACAAACAAGTTTCTATATGATCCATAACTATGGTCTCCAAAAGTTTAGCCTCAAATTGGTTGTTTCGTTATTCGAATAAATCCGTTTGAGAACTTTTATAGGTTTTACAGGTGTGGCTATACCATGTTCAGGATCCCAGTCCACCTGCGGGTCGTATTTCATGCCGCTGTCCAAAATTATACCATCTTCACATTGACACTTGCAGGGAACCATCTGTAAGTTGCAGCATGCTCATTATCAGATTTATGTAGATCTATGTGAACCTGTCCAGGTCTTAGGAGCACCACATCATTTTCAACCAACAGCATCTTCGGTACATTAACAATATTACCGTCACGTAGGCACTGCTGACCCCATGTGTCGTCCATTATTGGTTCGATACAAGTTGAGTATTGCAATGTACCAGAACACTTTGAAAGATATTAAGCCACAACTGATAACTTTCACACTCACTCTTTGTAAATAGTTGATCAAATTCTCGATCCGTGTCAACATAAACTGTTTTTCTTTTTTTTTTTCATGAGTTTGTAGAACATAAATTCCTAGGACGCATGTTAGTAGAATAGCAGAGAACCCGAGCAGTAGAAAAGAGATTTCATTCTCTCTGAAATGAACATACAACTTTCAATGTAATCTGAAGGAAAAACACTTGTCATTATTACTAATTAATGACTGATCAACGCGACCTTCACTCCCGTGTATCGTACGATACCAGAGGAATGATAAGATTTCAAGTCCTAGTAAGTGCATCATTATGGTGTTTTCCAAACTTTCGAACTTAGAATCGCTTATTTTCTTTTTTTCATATGAAGTTTCTTGACTATAAATTGAAACCTCATCTCTACATAAAACTTACAAGTCTACGGAGCCTATTGAAAATAGTAATGCCAAGCCAAGTATATAATATAAATAATTGAGCTTGTAATGATGAACAAACTTGTTCGCAACATCATTTACATGAAGGCTGAACTGTTTTAATCAATAAACTCAAGTTTAAATGTTACAAACCGTCCAGAATTCACATTTTGATGCTCTTCTAAACTCCTTCGACACTCGTTCACTAGTATACTCAATGCGTCTTTACTCGACAGTCCATATCTAGAGTTACTGTCCATTTGTTATAAGCCTATCCATTAAACATTTTCCAATCTTAAAGAAAACTTGTGAACTTCATCGAATATTGTTTGAATACAGTATAGGAGTGCATAATAGTTTTAAAAATTACATTGAGATTTAAGCTTCTTGCACGTTGTTTACAGTCGCTAAAAATCATGCAAGGAATGAGCTACGGCACATCATCTCTTGCTGCACTTTTTTAGTAACAAGCTTTTAATTCGTAAACTTATACCAAAATGTAACAAATTCTCTGAAAAATCTATGTTTTTTTGACGTTTTCGATGGATGTAGTTTGCGAGCACAGACCATATATATCACTAAACGTGAAATAACGATAAAAAAACAAAACAATTTTCCTTGATCTTTAGGGTTCGTCCGTAGCTGAAAATGTTGCACATACATCGCCTAGCATCTTTAAGACATTCAGCTTTACAGGTTACACGGGTAATTTTCCGAAATAAATATGATTCGATAAGTATTTGCTATCAGACGCAATTGAGACAGTTCAGTAAATGCTCGCGACCCTCCCTGCTACGGGATACCACTAAATTACTGAAGCAGAATGTGAGAAAAACAAACATATATATCTTTACCTCAATCGATTTAGAAAGGACTTTTCAAATCTATCACAAGAACGTGCTTCCACCCGGGAGCAAACACATTAGCCCCAATCCAGGTTAGGCAAATGAACTTTGTTGTAAATTTTGGCTTATCGTTTAGTCGAGTGCGCAGTTGACCGGATGGCAACTCTTACAAAAACTGCTCCGACTAGTTTGGCCGAAAGGCAATTGGCATATGAAGCGAAGAGTTATATTAGCAATGCTTTTGCTTGTCGGAGCGAAGGTGAAACTATTTAATTTTACAAATAGAATGAGTTTATATAGTTAGCCAATGTGTCAGTTCCATTCTTGTTTCGTGACATTATCAATTACTATAACGGAGTTGCTCCATCTTTCTTGAAGCTGAACTTTGACTCTCCTGGAAATGCTATATTCACTGCTGGAATCTGTATTATCATTGCATGTGTGTTATCATAAATTAAAGTCACAAACAGTTCGTTATAGATGGAATTGCCCGCTCTACTTCCGCAGCGTTCAATGAGTTAAGGAACGCCGTGTTTGCGAGAGTTGCTCAAGGATCGGTCAGAAAAACTGCTCGACAAGTTTTTCTACATCTTCATCAGCTTGATCTGTCTTTCCATTTAAACAGACAAACAGGAGCTCTGTCTAAAGCAATGGGTAAACTTTACATTTTTATTAATTTTTAATAAGTATTCGTAAGATCGCGGAACTCGTGGAATGAGCTTTGTATTGTCTTCGCTGGTTTTCAGTGTTGTTCCTACAGCAGTTGAATTGACTTTGGTTTGATTGATTTATACATTCTTTAGCATAATGCTTATTTCAGGTAACAACAATTTTTTACAACACTCTGGGTGCTCACTTTGCTTATATGAGCATTGGTAGCATAGGGATGTATGCATTAGCTACGCTAGGAATTACTAGGTTGGCTCGCATACGATCCAAGCTAAACTGTTATACATACATTTTAGATGGAGAACTAAATTTCGCCATGAAATGAACCAAGCTGATAATGATGCTGGAAGTAAAGCTGTAGATTCTCTCATTAACTACGAAACTGTTAAAGTAATTTGTTACTGTAGACCTTTCGAACTCTTGTTTTTTTAGTACTTCAACAACGAAAAATTCGAAGCCAAGCGTTACGATCAATATTTAGCTAAGTACGAACAAGGTAAATACAAATACTTATTTCTGAACTTCTTAACATTTTAACTTTCTAGCCTCTCTCAAAACAACGACATCCTTAGCGTTATTGAATTTTGTTCAAAATTCTATCTTTTCTGTAGGTTTAGTTGGTATCATGGCTTTATCTGCCAATAGGATTGTGTCTGGTTTTTATCTTACTTTTAATTATATTTATTTTTCCTATCCTAGGTGATGCAGCCATAGGAGATCTGGTACTGGCTAACACTTTACTTTTCCAACTTTCAATACCTCTGAATTTCTTAGGTAAGTTCTTCTTACTCTCAAAGCGAAGAGTTTATCTTTAGGCTCGGTTTATCGTGAGGTTAAGCAAGGCTTGATCGACATGAATAGTATGTTTTCTCTGTTGAACCTAAAGCCCAAGATTGTGGAACATCCTAATCCTAAAGAAATAAAGGTTGATGGTAATGATATAACCATTAAGGTTCGTTCTGAACACAACTTGTGTCATGTGCAAATATTTCTCAGTTTGATAATGTTCACTTTGGTTATTTACATGAAAAACCTATCTTGAATGGCTTAACAATGGAAATACCTGCGGGTAAGAAAGTTGCGATCGTTGGTGGATCTGGCTCTGGGTATTTGAAAGAGTTGAGCTGAAAAAACATTCTACTTCTTTACTTTCAGAAAATCTACAATCGTTCGTTTGCTTTATCGCCTGTTTGATTCGAATTCTGGTAAAATACTGGTTAATGGAGTTGATGTTAAAGAGGCTTCTCTCGATTCTCTCAGAAGAAATGTTGCTATCGTTCCACAGGTATGACGGTTTGAATCTTCTAATCGAATTTGTAAATGTTAGGATTCTGTACTGTTCCACGACTCCATATTTTACAACTTAGCTTATGGAAATCCTAAATCTACTGAACAGGAAGTGTTAGCTGCAGCAGAAACGGCAGACTTACATCATTCGGTTTTAAAAATGCCAAGAGGCTATGAGACAGTAGTTGGAGAGAGAGGGCTGAAATTGTCTGGTGGAGAAAAGCAACGAGTTGCCATTGCTAGAGCCATATTAAAGGTCTTTTTGGATGTTTTAATAGCAATTCACTCGTAATTTTTTTAAGAATGCCCCTCTCGTTATATATGATGAAGCGACATCTTCGCTTGATGCCATCACGGAAGCAAATATAATGAGAGCTTTGAAAGGAGCTGTTGACAAAAAGTATTATAACTTCAAAACGTTCATCATCAACACTTCATATTTTAAGAACTACGTTGTTCATTGCTCATCGATTAGCGACAATTGTTGATGCCGATATCATCTATGTGTTGGAAGGTGGAAAGGTTCTCGAGAAAGGTAATCACTTGGAGCTCATTAAATTGGATGGAAAATATGCTGAATTATGGCAAAGCCAGAATCATCACGCCGGCCTTGTTCCGGTAAATTATTTGAAAACTTCCGATATTGTTAAAGTACTTTTGCAGCCAAAAATTAAGGAAACCGATCTCGATAAGGAGTTACTTGAATTAGACTTGAAAGCATGCTGTGGAAGTTCAGGATGCAGTCGTTAGAGACAAAGAATTAGAGAAATCGTTATATTTCGAACTTTGAAATTTACCACCTTTCTCAGGCAGGCGTACACATGTAGTTTAGTTCGATCCATAGCATTTGTTGTGATTTTACCTAAAATGGTCGTATTGTAGAACCGTGTGATGTATAGAAATGCAGTTCTGAAAATTCCATCATTAACAATTGCCAAGTTTCTTTTGTACATTTTTTGATTTTCTTCAAAGCAACTTGGTGTTTCTGATAGCTTAACATATCCCCCGATCACGTTACCGTTATCTTTTGATTCTTGCCCAAAGGTTGTTCAGAGCATTGGTTTGATATTGTTAAGAAAGAAAATAGGTTTATTTTTACATTGTTAATTGTTGAATTTGTATGCTTTAGCTGCGACTTAGTTTTGGATATGAAAGTATTAAATTTTTATATGATAGTTTGTAACTCATGATTGTTGTTTATCGATTATCATACCTTCTCAGATATTTCACATCTGAATTTTTTTTTAGGATGTCAGGGTGTTTCGATAAAGTTCACTTTGACTGCAACATTGACTTAGAAGGCAAAAGGAATGCTATATCCTCTGTAGTGGCCAGTGCACTCTTCTTTATCGCTTGGTGGCTAAATATCGATACCGCAGCAGTTTATGAAAAAGTATGAAATGTTTTCGATACCTGTAAAAGTTATCCTATTTTAAGGCCGACTGGACAAATGTGTATTTCATCCTCACTGTAGCAAGTACTCTAGCCATGTTTATGGTTAATGCGGTTTCCAACAGCCAAGTTCGTGGAGAAAGTTTAAATGAAGGTCTTCTTGGAACTAAAGGTTCGAGATATTGATGTTATCCTGTATTTTTCATATTAATTGAAGGAGCTCGTCTTTGGCTGATGGCCGCGTTCGCTCTTTCTTTCGCTTCTCTTGTAGCAGCTACTTGGATTTTGTTTTCCGACTATGTTCTTAAAACCGGCGATCATCCAGTTTGGCCGGGAGTCTCTCTTTTCCTCACCAATTTCATTATTTTTGCTTCAAGCTGTGTATACAAATTCGGAAGAACTGAAGAAATGTGGGGATAATTACCTAAAAATCAAGCACTCCGTGCCATGAATCAACCTCTTCTCGCATACTTCTTAACTATTTATGATTTGTAAATATTTATATGGCGGTGATTGATACTATTACATGAATAAAACGTATAACATGCCATGCCGAATCATCTAAAACCGTAATTCAAATTTGTACAGAAAAATATTGACTTTGAAATGACTTAACAATCATGGAATTAACAGAGATCAGTAGGGAAACCCCTAGGCAAGGTAGGATAATCATTTCGATTATCATCGTACCTAGCTTTAACTACGCCTAACCCGCCACCTAGTCTACGGTAAGTCATACTACCGTGATGACGCCAATTATTAGCATCAATATCAAAAACTTCTACAGATTTCAAATAAGTTTGACCATCAAAACCTCCTACAGCGTATAATCTTTCGTTCACAACCGCTAGGGCGACCCCTGACCTCCTACTGCACATCGCAACAACCGGAGTCCATTCGTTAGTGTAAGGATTGTACCTGAGACATACTGTTATAGTCACATAAGTATTATAGGAACGTACCTTTCAGCTGAATTAAGTTCACAAGAATCATCTCTACCTCCGGCGGCATAAAGATGACCGTCGAAAACTGCTGTACCCAAATGCTTACGGCGAGTTAACATGGAGCCTACTTGTTCCCATCTACCTACTCTCGGATCGTACCTACATAATACTAATTTGCGAAACAATAAAAAATAAAAATACCTCTCTACGGTGTTTAACGGTGTTTGTCCATCAGAGCCTCCTACAGCATATAAGCATCCGTTTAGAACAGACACTGATACTCCTAGACGCCTACTTCCCATTGCTGCTACACTCTCCCATTCATCACGACGAGCATTATACCTAAGGTCGAGTTATAGGACATATAATAGAAAAACAGAAAAACTGGAATACCTTTCAACAACATTCAAACAGCTTTTACCATCTTGTCCTCCAACAGCGTAAAGGTATCCCTCGAGAACAGCAACCCCAACTGAAGTTCGGCATGTAGAAGTTGGAGCTACATCACACAACCACTGATTAGTAACAGGGTCATATCTTGAGACAAATTGAAATATGTACTTGGGCCTTGTTAATCATTATATACCTTTCAACGCTGTTCAAATAACTTTGACCATCATGGCCTCCAACGGCATATACAAGATCGTCGACCACGGCTACCCCAACCCCACATCTCAAACAAAGTTTATTCTAAATTGCTCTCAAACAAGCAACCTTCTTTTACTCATGGGAGATACAGTTTTCCAGACAGGCATTGGTTTACTGGGATCTAGCTGTTCAACTGAAGCAATAGCATCTCCACTACACCATCCACCAACTAAACTATGATTGGAGCCAAAATTGAAGCCAAATATGAACCTGCGAACAAAACCTCGCCGTAATGCACAGGTTTTCTTGGACGGGTCCTCGGTCCTTGCATGTTGACCCGTTCCGTAGGCAATAATAAATAATTCTGAACAGCGGTTGAAAGAGCAAAATTAGGAGTACTACCTTAGCTTCATCTACTAAATCACGACTGAACGCATCGGATTTTACTAATGGTTCTTCGCTAACAACACTGACAAGGAACTTGGCTGGACAAAGAGGTAAGCGTACATGTTGAAGAATCTTGAAACACAAAGTTGAGAGAGAGAAAATTAACTTTACCTTTGATAAGTATTTCCTCCGTTCATGAAGGTCGTATCTAACCCATTTAATTACGGCAGCAAATACCTAAATGAAAAAATAGACAAGAATAGAGAATGAATTAATGAACCTGCTCCTCGGATTTAACATTCAACTCTTCACTGGAAATAATTTCAATAAGTTGCTCTAGAGGCAATAATAGAAACTCTTCTGTACTCATAACTTCCTGAAAAGAAAGAAGAGTATAATGACACAACCAATTTTGAGCAAGTACCAAAAAATTCTGCAGAGTAAACCTATTAGCACTTCTGAGAAGCTCTCTACATGAGTGAGTATCTGCAAAGGCTCGTATGCCTAGGCAATTACTTGCATCTAATTGCTTTTTCAAAAATTCACAACAAACAACCTGCAGAGAATTAAAAAAACGAAGCATTATAATGTAAACTCACTTGAACTTCATTCAATTGTAACAAACAGGCCGATGGAAGAAGAGATTGAACGTTCTCTTCGGTGATTTTTATTTCACCTGTGTAGCAAAAGTTTATTAAGAGCTCTAAAGCATCCACACTGATATCTGACATAGTAACTTCTTCTGTAAAATTTTCGGCTGAATATAATCAAGATACGCCTGAGTGTTTACTTTGATGGCTTTCAACCATTTCATTAGTGAACATTGCTTTGAAGTAACTCGAGCAAGCTGATAGAACTAAACGATGTCCTTGGATCCTGGTTCCGCCTACTATGAAAACCACATCACATAAACGTGAATCGGTTCTCAGCACATTTAATTCGGCCAGAAGCATTCTTCCGTGTATAGTGCTCTGAGTTATTATCATTATTTCATAACTCTCTAATGACTTACAATGTGTGTTAAGGGAGAACCATTCGGTTGAGATGCCAGAACTTCTTTCTCTGACGTACCAGGACACATTACATCAATATCGGTGGACCCCATGGTTAATAACACATAGAAAGACTTTCTTCTATTGAGAAATCAGTTTATGGTTTTTATATAGTATACAAAACTAAATTGAAACTTTTTAACTGCACTCTGTTTACAACCCGTTTGAAGAAAAATCGTTCGGTTTATACACCCCATGGTTATGCACTATCAATGATGAAAAACACATACTATCTGCATAGGAATTGAAGTTTTGAAGATATTGGATATAATTACCGAAGTTAATCTATGAAACATCAATGTTTGTTTCTAGTATCAAAAAATATTTGTTTGTACCTTGTGAAAGAATGATCAAATGTTTGCAATAGGATGAAAATATTTTTTACTGTTCCGCAATCGTTCCTCAGATTCGACAAACAACATTCAACAGTAATTGCACTCGAAAGGAAGAGTACCTATATAATTTAGTCACTGAATACAAGATGCTCTCTTCGGGTTTCAGTTCTTTTATGCTCTGCATAATTGAATTATAATTAGTTCATACTTTCTTGATAGTGATATCTGTTCCTTACGGAAAGTCTCTTGTTCCGTTAATGCGCTTTTGACGACAAACTGCTGATCTAATGCTGTCAACATACATGCAATTTCATGAGCTATTTGAAAATGGTAAAGGAAAGCCGATGTAAGGTAGGGGGATTCAGCAGATCGTGTGAGAAGTTGTACTAAATTCCGTGTCTTGTTTCTAAATGTATTAGAAACAGTGCGTGTAATAGGATTTGTGTTGGTCATTTGCTCTCAGTGTAGCTAATCCAGTTATCGTTCATCAACGACGTTTAATTAATCTTTGTGTTCTCTGGATTAAAATGTTATTTGGTTCATTTTAAACGTAGATCAAAATAATCGCCGTTCATCAAACTTTTGATTTCTATCAGACAATGTTTGATTTCCTTCGCACATCAGTGATTTCAATTACTAATTGTCGAGACTGGGTATTCCTCATTGAACAAAATGCATTAAAATAGTTTACTGATAGTAAAAAAATGACCTTTTGGCTAGTTCCATCTTCCTCTTTACAGTTGCTCAAGTTCAGCCGCCCTGATTCGGAGAAAAGAGGTAGAGTATTTCTGTTATTCTCTGTTTGGAAACGAAGGAATATTTCTTGAATAATGTACTTTACATTGACGACACATAATCAAGACTTAATGACCAACTCCACATTATGGACTGTTTCTTTCGCTTTTTTTGTTTAATCCTTCACCTCTTCCTAACCCAAATTAGGTTTCAATGCATGTAGATGTCTGGGCGGAGCGTACAATCCTTACAGTAACTGAGAGAGATGTGGAAGTGCTTTATATAAGACAAAGAGTCAAAGTTGAATTGTTCTTCGACCTATCCACAGCTTGAAGAATATTCTTAATAATGATGGTTCTGAAAGTATCTTTTTTTATCCTGATATTCATTTATGCCCCGTGCTCAGCTCGAAATCGATTAGAAAGTGCCGTAAACGTCAAAGAAGCAGAGAAGCTGTTAGGTTCTCCTATTAAGGTTGTCTTTCAAGATATATTTCTTTAAAACTGAATATACAGATCAAAACTACTGAAAAGGCAGGACAAGATTTACACAATCACTGGTCAGCACAAGCTGTTTCTGCTCTTATTGCCGCTGTTGCTAATGAGAAGTTCGTTTTTTCTCTCTGTTCTCAATATGATTGTGTCATTGTTGAGGATTGATTCGGTTCCACAAAGAATTGCCAAAAATCATGAAAAATGCTCTAAAAACGCTCAGAACGTTCAGCAGCATGCCAAATGTGTTCAAAAACTTTTAGAACTTCAAAAGCAATACGCTTCGGCTAAGTTCATCAAATTGAAAAAAGGCTGGTTTCGGAAAAATATGCTGTCTTAATGTATTGTTGTAGAGAAGAATACCTTAAGGAAATTGAGAAGAAATAAGAAAGCTTCGAGAGATCGCGAGTACATGGGATCTTTCCGGCTGCGTCGTTTTAAACGAGAAGTATAGCTACCTGAGTATTTTGAGTGACCAATTTCCAGGTTATTAGGAAATCTTCATATGAGCTGAACAGTCAGGCACAACAGTCGCCTATTTCCATAATTGCAAAACAGATTACAAATGGAATTCGCAATCTGAAAAATAAAAAGGAGCAGAGAAGGTCTGTATTTAACCCTAGTGCTCTCTTCTATTACTATTTCAGTTGGAAAGAGGTTTTGGAAAGCGTGAGGAAGGAAGGCAAAAAGCTGAAGTCTTCGAAAAAACTGCAGAATATGTTGAAACCATCATTTGACAGTACGTTTTAGGGCCGATATCTTATGTTATCATCATATTTTTAGAAAAAACGTCGAAAACGAAGTATTTGAACATGAAAGATATAGATGTTCTAGAACGGAGAAGACATTCCAAGAGACGTCCTCTAGCTGATGTTTCACTAACTTCACAGCTGTCTACTCATATGTTTATTTTTTTTAGGAAATAGCGTTAGAATCTGAATCTGCTGAGAATGCTGATGAGGTTGTCGATTTTACGGAAGGTGGAGCTCTCGCCAGCAAAATTATGGTTTGATTATGCATTCTACTTGAAACTAAAAAGATATTAGCGTGGCAAGGCGGCACGAACTGGGAGTGCGAAAAATGAAGTTGTAATGGAACAAGTAGATTTATTGAGACAAGGTATGCATAACGAAAGAGTTATCATTCAGTTCTGTTTTAGGGGTGAAAATTGGCTTGAATTTGTTTGGCAGAAACACTACTGGTTATAATGATAAGAACGTGAAGTTCATATCGCCTAGGTTCCTCTCTGTTGTCCCCGAAGACAGTACGAATAGTTCTGTGAGTATTGAGCTTTTTGAGGTTGAATAATAAGAAACACAGGTCGATGTTCTATCACCATCTCTTTTCTCATTGCATAATGAAGGCGAAGGTGTAGAGAAACTAACTTCTTTGAGTACTTTGCTTGGATCTCTGGGTAGTAAAGACAGAGATTCTGTGATGGACATGATAACAGAAGTAGCGGGTGTAGGCGAAGCTTTGGAAAATGCGGAAAAAGTAGAGTTTTAATCTTTTTACCCAATTTACTATTCATGATTAGCAAGTGAAGCAACGATCTGATGAGGACGATGGAGTTCTGATTAACTCAGATGGGAAAGAAGTTCATTTGTCCCGAGAAGAAGTTATTAAAGTCTATGGAGCTGAGGGGTATAAAACCCTGAAGACTTTTCAATCCTTGAATAGAAATTACAGTGCGGAGCAGGTTCTTTCTTTCTATGCAAAGGTATATTCTCCTTGTGTTGCAGATTCGGCAGTTTAAAGAATATGGTTATGCTCAAATGTCCGATAAACAACTTAACATAGTTTATGGTAAAGGAGGAGTTTATGAGAATCCTCATTTACTAAAAGAATCGCAAAATCAAACTCTCCCGGATGTGAGGAAGAAGCTTTATAGAGTGAGTAAAAGAGGAGCGTATTGATAGAAAAGTTAATTCTAGACAATCAATCAACTAGCAGCGGGAGAGGTGGAGATCATGCCGGAAAGTCGACGCATGAGGGACTATGTTCTATCTCCTTTTTTGTTTGCTTCTATAATTGGAGATCCAGGAGCTGCTAGTCAAGTTAGTATATGTATATTGGAGGGAAATAGATCTTTCAATGCTTTAAGGGTATAATATTGTCGCCAGTATTGTTCACAGTTCTACTCCGCTCACCGGCTATCTTCTCCAGCGTTATATTGAGTCCTTGGGTATTTCTAAGAATTAAAAAGCTTTTTAACAACTTAGTAACAAGGTTTTCGTGCCAGTTCTTGTATCGCCGCGTCTATTGTCTCCTGTAATTCTATCACCTTTTCTTTTCTCTCCGATTATTCTATCTCCGTTGGCTTTGATTCCTGTCATACTTTCTCCAGGATTGGGTGAGTATACAAATCGAACACAAATTTCACAAAGAAGAAAAGAGATTAAAGACCTTTCAAATTGAAACATTTCAGTTGACCCTTTCGTACTCTCTCCATTCGTTCTTTGCCCGATTATTCTCTCTCCGATGGTAATTTTTCTAATTTATCAGTTATCGAAAATCTCATTTTAGGTATTGGTTCCAATAATTCTAAGTCCGTATGCTTTATCGCCCACAATTCTGTCTCCGTTCACTTTATCTCCCTTGGTTCTTTCTCCGTTCGTCTTATCTCCTTCCATCTACTCCCCTCCATCGTATACAGCTGTTATCTTGTCCCCCTATGCTCTATCACCGTCAATAGAATCGGCTCCAACGAATATAACCGTATTTGCGTCTCCCAGCTTCTTGAGTTAAACAAAGCATAACAGATATTTATTTCACAAAATAATAATTTATTTACATATCAACAGATGCTGTAATATCACGTATTTCTGACGGTTTGTAAATTTTGTCAATATCCTAAATCAGTGAGCTCATTACAGGCTATCGAGTCAAACTCATCATACCGTTAAGTCGCTTATCCAGATTTTTGTGGCTGTTCTTCTTTTTTTACCCGATGTACAACTCGTATTCATTCTATCACTAGTAGCTGTTTGGAACATTTTCTCCATCTTCAACGTTTCGATAATTACAAAACTTTTTACAATGTACCTTTTCAAAAGAATTTTCCTTGTCCCAACCAAATAGAATGTCAATGTCATGAGGATCTCCAATGAATTTGTTTTTTCGGCGTTGTTCTTTTCGTTTTCTCTGAAGAAAAGTTATTTCGAATCATACAATGCATTTACCTTGGGCTGTTGAGATTCGTTAACAATTTCTTGTGTTTTCCTACGAGCACCATATCTTCGCGATGAAGAGCTCTTCTCACTCCCGGCTGGAGATTTGGAGTCTGCCTGCACATTCACGACGTTGCCAAGAGTCTGAAAAGGAGATATGAGTATCGCTTTACAAAACTTCGAACATTTCGGATTTTTGTTGCTGCGGCTCCTTCCCCCTTCGGTCCAAGCTTAGGAGACATTGCTCCGTCTGTTTTACTCTTAGAAGGATTTACAGCTTTCTGCTCACTAGTTTTTTCTTTTTGTTGTTTCAATTCAACTAAACTTTTTCTTCTGTAAAAATATTGGATAGAAAACACAAATGTTTTAGCAAGACAACCTTCTAGTAGCAACTTGAGTAGCTGCTTGCAACAGATCGAAGTTCGATTCATCAACAATAAAATTTTGTTTCGGAGCTACGGGTTTCTTGATTGTGTCAGCAGGCTATAAAAAATGTTCGTTCAGAAAGCGCTGCTTTTCTTAGCGTTGAAATCAAACCCACCTTCACTACAGGAGTTTTCTCTCTTCGGAATATGTCTTTAGGAACTGCAGGGGGATGTTGCTCCGGTTTCTCCGTTGTACTTTCACATGACTGAAAACTTCGCTCATTCAAACATTACCTATAAGCGAAAGACTACCTTCTTATTCGCAGTATTGTTGAGAGGAGGTTTCACTGCCATATTTCTAATAGGAACTTGCTTAGTTGACAATGAGGATTCCCCAATTGCATTGGTACTCCGTTGCGGTTCTATCTCAGTGATCTCCATCCCTGCAGGGGATTTATCACGCACAATTTTTCGCACTGTACGTTTAGGCTCTTTTTTCTCAGTTCCCTATGACATTTTAATCAAAAATTGAGATGAACCCTCTACAAACTTCTAACGCTTTCTGGACAACTTCCTGTTTAGATACACGAGCTCCTTTGCTAGATTCGATCTTGGCTAACTCAGCTTCAGTCTCAGCATCTCTCCTCTCTTTCCAACGCATTTTCTCCTTGTCAGCTTCGCTATAACCTCATGTTTTCTTTTTTATTATTAAGTGACTGGCACCTGAACACTCCAGATGCTTTGTTCAATAGATGCTTATGTTTTTCTTCTAGCTCTCGCTTCTTTACTTCTTCTGCTGTTGTAGATATTCCTTTAGACAAGTTTTTCATTTGATCTTGCAGCTGAGATGATCCAGCTTTCATTTGTGCTCTGATTTCCTCCATCTAAAAAAGAGTAGAATTTAATGAAAGATAAAAGAGGTGAAGATTGCCTGTTTGTCAAACTCATCGTTTATGACCGGCTTAACTATCTCGTATTTTCGACGAGGACGTTCTTCTGTTTCTTTCGCAGCCAATCTGCTCGATCTCTTATATCTGAATCATACAACTGCAAGAGAAAACTATGAATGGGATACGATACGTGATAGGTTCCGCTGGTTTAGGGTCTTCTTTGAACTTGTCCATCAGAGCACTTACAGTTCCAAACCTCCTTGCTTTGATTTTAGCAGCTTCCTTGAAAAACATTTCTCTTTTGAAGTTATAAGTAAAATCGAAACCTCGTCGGCCTTTGCTTTTCTCTTTGCTTCTTCCTGATTCATATTGAGGGCTGATTTTCTGAGGTTGCTTTTGTCTTCCACTTCCTAAAGTGTTGTGCTTATTATTATCCATTACTTAATCGGTTACTTTAATATTTTTTAGTTTATCGGCAGCTGCTGCTTCTATCGTTGATCTTTCTTTGCTCGTTCCAGGCTGCACTTCTGATAGTTTCGTCTTCGTGACAACCTCTTTGGCTTTGCTCGCTTGTTTCATAGATTGAGTCTTATTATCCACTGCTGCTTTTCTAAATATTTTGGAAGGAGCGCTAGCTGAGCATACAGATAAATTTCCAAAATATACTTACGGTCTCTCTCCTATTTTGGTTTCAACTTTTTGTACTTTAGCTGTTTCTAATTTGTTTGGTTGAATGACAGCTTTCCTAGCAAAATCTGTAGATGGTTTCCTATCGGAGAATCGACTAGTCGATTCCTATAACGAAATTAAGTATTGATTAGGTTCATTTATAACAACCTCTTGCACTTTTTCTGTTTGAGATTTCACAAACGTTGGAATGACGTTGACTTCCATTAAGCCCTGAAATGTATACTCATATACACAACACATGATATCCGTGTCCGTAACGTTCAAAATAATTAAAAAGATTCCTACAATTGTTTCTTCATGCTCTCTAAGGCTAGCTTCCATCATTGTGTCTGAAGCCAGCTCTGTAAAAGTTGCCTCAGAAACAATTTCTTCAGCTGGGATAACACATGATGAAATGAGATTTTTATCAGCCTGAAAGAAGGTTTCAAATCAAGAAGAGGAAGAAAAAGAAAAAACCTTTTCTGTTCGTCCATCTTTAGTGATTCTCTTTGCCTTTGCTTTTGTGAGTTTATCATCTCCAATGTTCAAGTTTGATGCTTCTTCCACTTTCGTCAAAACTGTCATATCTTTTGTATATGTAACTTCTCGGTGTTTATCGGCTCCTGTCACGTCTGGAGTTACCTCCTTAGGTGAAGCATGCAGGAACGTAGCATCCATCTAAGAAATTATTGGAATTTAACTACCGTATAATAATAATAACTTCGAATTCCGCATCTGCTTCTTCAAATTCGAACGCTTCCTCTTGTAAATCAGCAGAAATGGGTATAAGCTCAGGACTCTGAAGTAGTATTGGTATGACGGAAATGAAAATGTAATCACATCGCAAATGCTATGCATTTCGGTGTTTTCACATTCAGATAGATCAGCTTCTTCTTCGTCCGAATACTCGAACTCTTCCTCGTATTCCTCATCTTCATCCCAGTATTCTTCATCGGTGAACTAGAAGGTTTAGTCTTAGAAATTTTTGTATTTTTCGGTTTAACTTCTTCATCATCATAGTATTCCGAATCATCCGTATAGTCCCCATCGTCTCGTCTAGCGGCTCTGTCTACCAGCTTTAAGGTACATCCAACAGCTACGGACTCCTCATCATAGATTGATTCTTCCTAACAATTATGACATTAAATATAATCAACTTTGTGAAAGCGAACTTCATCTTCATCACTTGGAGTCAGATAAGCTAATCCGGATGAAGTAGGACGGCCTTTGAAGCACATGTTGAGAGTTAACTAACTAACAAGACAAAACCTGTATAAATATCGTCGAAATCCTGACAACTGTGAACACTTCCGTCTTCTTCGGAATCCCAGGCTTCCTTGAAATAGTAATGTTACCATAAGATAACTTTTTAACAAAACCAACTTGTCCGTCATAAGATACTGAACAAGTGAATGTTGGTGGAGGTACTGCAAACTTTTGCCCAACCCTCCCACGGTAATCAGCGGATCTTGAATAGTTGAATTAAATTGTGCACAAAACAGTTTGCAAAGCATACTCATTATTTACAGCCAAGAAAGGAGGACTTGAATCACTATCATAGTCTGAAGCAAAAGGTGAACAACGAGAAGAATCAGGGGATTGCAAAGGGTACAAATCTCCTATAATATAGATAATAGAGGACTGTAATTTGGCTAATATGTGCTACCAATAGGCAAACGATCGGGAATCTTGAAAGTTTGCGAAATAGTGAACTCAGAATCGGATTCATCTAATAAAAAATTTTTGTCCTTCATAAATTTCAAGTGAACATACAATCAGCCTCATCTTCCTCCGTCCACTCCTCATCTGTGTATTCAATGTTTGGATCAGAATTCCATAAAATAGTTCCGGTCGTGGAAAGAGGTGTAGAAGGCATTGAAGGCTGAGTCAGTAACAGTAGTGGAGGTCTAACTGCTTGTTTGGGCTGAAAATAAATACGTATTAAGTTGCAAAAGCTTTTTGGTTTACTTCTACTTCCATATTTTTTACCTTCGGTAATACTTCGTCTTTTTGTTTTCTTTGTTCATCCTCCAATTTCTGAACAAATGTCTTGAAGAGCTCGATATATCTTATAAATAACCTCTTTCAAATTTTCCAGAGTTCTTGTGAGATCACGTTTCTTTTTCGTAGCTGTAGTAATAAAATTCGACTGTGAATGAAAACCTTCAAACTTTTTTTTACCTTTATTGGTGTCTTCACTATGCGCTCTTTCTTCCCTTTCTACTTCGAGAGAGTTGGTTGTTGAAGGACTAGCACTTCTTCTCATTTCTGGAAATAAAGAACTTAGATTTCAGAGAAGAAAAAAAGTGATATGAAAACAGATGGAGCAGAAGGAATTAAAGTGAAATCGGGTGGTTGATGGTCTTAAGCACATTTATTTTGAGCTCTTTCAGATTGTAAACTAAAAGATAATACGAAAAGATGACCCGTTATTGCAGAAAACTGAGCGAACATGTGCAATCTTTTCCAGTCGCTCGAATTCTCATTGGTTTTTTTTTTCATGAAGGATATGCTTTAACCACCTTTTACTTTTGGACCATTCACAGTTAAATTGCTCTTTGAACGTTCTGTTTTTGTTATTGGGCTTGAGGACCGGCTGCGTATACTCTGAAATTGTATAGTTCTGGCTCATTTTCACTTTGAAGTCACCTTTGAAGAGAAGAATGTTAACTCGGACGACGGCTCTTCCGCTGAGTTCAGATTTATAGTTAAGTCAGGCTTCTTTTTTATGGTTTGTTGGCAGCCAATTTTGGTTGTTGAAGGTTTTGTAGGCTTTCTTGATACTTCAGAGTCTTCACTAGATGATTTACCAGGAGCTGTTTCTGATGAGTTCAGCAACAGAGAAGACGTAATAGAAGAGGATATTGAGGTTGATGAAGACGTTTTCGAAGGTGAAGATGATGTATTAGCAGAGGATGGTGGTGGTAGCTTCATTTCAGTCCTACTCTTCGATGTAAGTTGGGCAGGTAATTGAGTCGGAGCAGGACTTAAAGATTTTGATAACTTTGTTGGAACTTTTAGGGCAGTTTCTTTCGGCGAACTAAGATTTGCGACCAAGTTTGTAGTTGGCTTAGAAAGTTCTGAACTGGGTTTTGAATTGATGGTAATGTCATTCTTAAATTCAACGTCTACTTCAGCACGTGAGGGAGTTGGAAAAACCTTTGATGTTGATTCAGGTGTCGTTTTCTTCTTATCAATCGCATCCGTCAATTTAATGGTTAACGAATCTTTCCGCAGTAGTTTATCCATGGCACTTGCTGCTGGTTTCAGTTTACGAGTCGGGATCACAGCTGAAGAAATTTCATTATTCTAATTGGTTAAAGTATGATTTGTTAATCAGAAGTTTGGAGAAAAGGTGAGTACAGCATTATCCTAACCCGGTTTCATCAGCACATCTTCATGAGCTTGTTCAAAAATTTCTTTCGAACTTTTTGTTTTTGGACTGCTGTGAGTGTCGCTCAGACTATTCTTTTTTTCAGTATCTGAAAAAATAGGGGAATGTGTGAAGTTATGAGGTAAAGGTGTTAGAGGTTATTCACTAGTGATTGTATTCAACATATTAATAACATTCTTACTTGGAACACTTTTCATATCACTAATCTCTTTCTTCTTCAGTTTTGGAGAAGCTTTCGGAGTCACATCAACCGGAGAAGCTCTAGGTGTTTTCAACTCCTTGAAAAAAGAGTTTGGTTCAAGCAAAACACTATTATTTACAGCTTCTTGTTCCGTTTCAATATCAGCAATGCTTGATTGGATCATAGGTGCCTCATTCTTTGACGTCAGTTTGTCTACACTTGTGGATTTAGTACTGATCTTTGCATAGTCTAAAATGCTTTGTAAACGTAGGCTTACTTAAACTTTTCTAACCTTCGTCCGTTCTCTCGTTTATATCCTTCACATAACGGTTATATAGCTTTCGGAATGTTTTCTCAACGTCATCGACTGATTTCTCCTTAAAGAACTAACCATAAAAGGATAAGCGAGCGCTTTGGTGTTTTTATTTAATTGTTTCCTACTTTCTTGTGTTACACTTTGCTTCCTCCCCCGCCCTGTTGACAAAGATCACAGCTGATCAGAGCTGGACGTTCGGAGAGAAGCGAATTTGAAAATAATCGATATCATCTATATAATTTGACGCAAAAGCTACAACTTTAAAAAAAAAACAATAACTCACATCTTCACCAACATAGCTTTTCTCGATTGGACACAATGAGCGAACATCTCGATCATAACGACTCAACCGTGCTTCGGAAGTGGAAGAGCTTAAATCAAAACTGTACAATTTTTCTTAATTAAGGTTGACTGACTTTGATACTCCCGGGGTTTTGGAACGATACTCTATCCGAACGCGTGGTTTATAAGTCGAAGCTGATGAAGATGAAGCAGTATAAGAGCTAGCAGGTCTAGAATACCTGATGAAAGAAAAGTTATAGACACCTCTTCACAACGCATCAACATACGAGTTTGTGGAAAAACCATATGAAGACGAATCAGGTCGATATTTTGAAAGACTTATAGAAGGAAAGTCCCTGGAGGACGAAGAAAAATCTCTTTCTCTCCGTGAATCTGAGGACGGAACTCAAAATATAACATGGAATAGTTGAAAAGAAAAAAAAAGATTACGAGGCGTTCGTGGAGAAAAAGTTGAAGAAGCTCTGTAAGAAGAACGTTCGCGGTTCCCTTCTGGAGGTCTATATTTCGAGAAGTTGGAGGAAGAGTATGGGCTTTTGTAAGTAGATGAATTAAGCTGATCAGAACTGCCAAATCTGAGTTTCGATGTAGACATCTCATAACACTATGGATTTTCTTACCGTTTCGATAATGATCGCGAAGTATAATCCGGATGATAAGAATGAGACATAGAAGTCAAGTTTGAATAGTATGAAGGACGTGAATATGATGATGTCATTGAAGAGGACACATTTGAACGTGTAGAAAAGGGATCATAGCTAGAAGCTCTTGACATCCGAGATACTGGTTTCTGTAATGAAAATGGTGATCTTCTTAAAGCGTGTTAGCTGAAGAAAGCTGTGAATGACCAAAGACATACCGGTAGATCTCGAGGACCATAGGATCGAACATTCGAACTCCCGCTATCTCTGTCGCCTCGACCAACGCTCCCACTACGTTTACGTAAAGAAGGTATATAGGAACTCATCATAAAGTTAGTTGAACCATTCAGATCTAATGATGTTTCTGGTTATAAAAAACAAAGATATCGTTTGGATCTACAAAAGAATCGATTAAGGATTACGAATAATGTGCGAGCGTAGCTTTCGCAACAGCCCGATTTAATGGTCTTCAAAGCGATATTACTTTACAACGAGGGTTTTTTTGCGACTTAGGCTTAATCTAAGAAGTTCACGTTAGTTTCGAAACTTATGAAGGTTAAACTCAATACGTTTTCCATAAGGACAACTAATAAAAAATAGTAAAGTATCAGGCACGTAGATAGTCGGACTGAGAACGTGAGAGCCATTCAATGTTACACCGTTCAAAACAACTGACTACATAAAGATATTGTGTTAAGAAAAGAGACTCTAAAGAAACGGATATTTTGAATAATTATTTCTATACGGCCACTAAGTAGACACATAGAAACTACAATTCCAGCAACAACTTCATTTGGGAAAAACCGCTGCGATATTCTGTATATATGCTATGAGAATGCCAGAAGAACAATTTGACACACCTCAAAAAAATCAGATTTTCTAATATTTCTTTTCATAAATGTTCCAATACTTCTGACTTATGTTGTGATAAATTAAGAAAATTTTTAAACAAAACTTCTTTACAAATTAAAAATTGCAAAAATGTTAGCCCCGTAGGGGGCTCGAACCCCTGACCGTTAGATTAAAAGTCTAACGCTCTACCAAACTGAGCTAACGAGGCTACGTTCATGTTGTTTGTGAAGTGACATTCAAAGGTGTACAACATATAAATCCAAACACATCGAATTAGATCATTGTACCATATTTTTATATATTATCTGTATATGCATTTACTGTGGTTCGACGGCAGTTTCTCAAATTTCTTCATGCCCTCCAAAGCTTCTAAAACATGCCTGTTCTTACTAATGAGAACCTTCTCTCCTTCTTACCAAAATATTTCTTGCTCGAATCATGTTTTGGAATATTATTATCTTCATTATTTTCTCAACATTATACTAGCCATATGAATATAGTAATGCCCTAAAGAGATGAAGATATCACACTCATCGCAGGAATCATCAATAGTTTAGAGATCAGTTATATTGACGCCATATATATATAATGCTTATATTACATTCGATGTCAAATTATATCTGATGCTTAAATTATCAAAAATTCTACATTCGCACTTAATTTCTCAGGTTCACATACATTTTTTTCGGATTTTTTAAACCAACAATTGAATGCACACGGCGTTTACAATCGCAAAGAGGATACGTCGTCGGAAAATAAAACATAGAATTTCCAACAGGTTTTTTATAATAAGTTAATTTTATATTTTAAAGTAATTTCTCATGAGGATACAAGTTTAAAGAGCGGTTTTATCATTATGTATATAAATTTACATAGTTTCCCCCTCTTAATTTCAATTCTTAGACTATCACTTTATATTATCTCTTGTAAAAGTGTGTTGCTATTGATTATATTGCTTTTGTCACTTGAATGCGATTATAGTAGGTAATTTTCCCGTGAAGATGGAAGCTCCGGCTTGGATGTTCACCAAGGCTTTAAATCATAGGCAAAAGGTTTGTATATTAGTGTACTTGTCAGAAGACATTTTTATAGGTTTGTCGCTTATACAAACGTGCACTTCGTGAAGTCGACAATTGGTACGGAGGAGACAAGTACGATAAAACAATTTATGATTCCCATTTATCATAATTCAGCTTGGAAGTTCGTTATCAAAAAGTTATTCTCCGGGCTCGTTTCGATGCCAACAAGAATGAAGCTGATACAAGAAAGAACCAGCTTGTTCTTGCTGACGGATGCAAGCAATTGTGGGAGCATCGTCACTTCAAACCTTTCAGATGTATGTTCTGGGTATACAAAAATTAATCTTCATCTCCATTTTTAGTCGCTCTGGATTCTGGTGGAAGCAGTTATGATCGTGAACGCGAATCTCCTGATGTGGTATTTCTTTGAAATTATCATTAAATGTTCAAAAAGTGGCTTTTCTAGATTCTCGACTCTGACCAGTGGACTCTTCCAGAGCGTGAACAATTCCCATACTATTTCAACAAGAGAGAGCAAAGAAAGAAGGTTTTTTTTTTTTTTGGTTGAAATAAGCGTCGTGTTAAGGAGCTTCTTGCTCATTGGTCGAAGATTGAAAAGGATTGGGATGATCAAATCGCGGCTATTCAGACTACTCTTCCAAGCGAGGGATCGAAACAAAAAACTGTTTAAGTAGATGTCAGTTTTTAGTTAAGTATGAATTGTAGTATAAATAAGTAAAGATGTTTAAAAGAATTGCTGTATTCTTTGGCTTGCATTAAGCAGCTGATGAAGTTGACAATCTTTTAAGGAGAAGAAGATCAACAAAACGTAACATAGTTCGAATTTTTATTTTTCGGAAGAAATTAAACCTCATGGGTGAACTTCATAGGGCTTCTCGTAAGAAATAAAGAATATACCATAGGCCTTCATTATCGATTTAAGGTAAAATACATTGAAGGTAAAGCTAAGACATTTTGAATAATTGGTAATCACATAATGTTAACGATATAAGATACCCGGCCAATGGTACAATATCACCATGAAATCATTAAAGACAATAATTTTCTGTTTTGAACGGTCTTATAATCCATTATTAGTGATGATTTATAGTAATTAAGTATAATTAACATGTAAAAGCTCGGTTTATGATTGGCTTCAAGGGTTGGATATATCTGGAATGTCTAGTATCACATTTCTGAAACTCAATGTTATCTAATGGTCATCTTAAAATAGTTTTGGAACAGTCGTTGTGAGGACATGGTTAACGACCCCGTGAACATGCTCTTCTTCCCCATGGCCATGTGATCTGAAAAGAATTGAAATCATAATTGATTCTTTAACTTCGAGATCGAATGAAAAGCATTTTGAGAAAGTTTATAAAGAGAATGAACATTTTTTTCATTCGAACTAGACTGAAACGACATGGACGACAGACATACATGTACAAACGACATAAATGTATACCTACAGAGGTAAAAAGAACTTTTCGATAAGGATAATGATAGAGATAGAGGTAAGGGAAAGGAAGTGTTTGGACGTCATTCAAACGCTGCTGAAAACAAGTTCCATTACTTCATTTAATGTATTATTCTTTTACAGATGCCCCAAGGAAATTAAGAAACGTACCCAAAAGCGAACTGTAACACAGCAATAACTGCGAAACCTATGAAAATCGCAAGTAATTGCTTGAGACTATTGAATTCATTATCCTTCTCTTGTGCAAGAACCTCGAAGTTATAATAGCTTTCAGTTAAGAATTTAAATAAAACCTCTAAGAATGTAACATATATGAATGTGCCAGAAGCTAACGACTCCAAAATGAGAACAGCGCCATCTTTATGAAGTGGATTTATACTGGACATCTGAATAAACATTTAAATAATTAAGGCTCAAGGCTTTGGCAACCCAACAGAACAGTAAAGCGCTGGATGGATCATTTGAATGGCTGATCGCGCAGCAATCGGTTGCTTTTGGTAAAAAGAAAAAAGTTCGAACCTGTAATAATGTGCCTAATCCTGATCCGATTGGTGTCATCAACGCATAAATGAGGATAGTTAAAACAATAGCTTTAATCTGAGAAAAATGATATATTTCCGAAAAGTTGCTTTTTATCTTTTAATATACTTTGTCATTGTTTCCTTTAGAAATCTGGAGACCAACTGAAAATGCTTCGATACCTTTATGTAAGATTAAAGATATGAACAGAGTCACAATTCGGGCCGGAGTGTCCTGATATATAGATTGTGTGGTGAATAGATATAATGTAGCTTACTTGAACACCTAGAGCGAACCCTTCAAGAATGGAGTGGAAAGACATTGCGATAGCAAATGTGAGCGATTTAAGTAGCGAACTTTCAGATTTTTCAGCAACTGCGTAGTTAGCTGTTTCTTCCATCACCATGCTGAAGGAATATGACGTTACTGGAGCCATTAAAATCCGAAACGTAATATCAGCTCAAGTTTAGCTGGCTTGTGTAAGTTGAAGAAGAGAAAAAAGATTGAAAATCGAAATTGGCAAATATCTAACTGTATTTTCTAGTCACAAGTTCGTAAATCTTATTTGTTTCATTTAGAATTTTAATTAAAATAGTTTCTGGGTTCATATTCAATCTTTTTTCTGTTTCTACTAAAGAATCGTCAACAAAATCGGAAAAGAACCGGTTAATAATCTGTGAGAAAAAGAAAGCAAAACAATTACTGGCAGTTGAACTAAAGTAGGAATTTGCCCTTCTCCAGTGCTTATTTCCATTCTCCTTCTTCTTGGTTAGAAAACTTACTCGTGCAACGATAAAGATGTGATATATTCGGGTCTCTCAGTTCGTACTTTTCCTTCAAGAAGTGAATCGGTGCTGAAAGCCATGCATCATGCAAACTCCAAAAATTGGAGCATTTCAAACGTAAGAAAGCTCGTGAGTTGTTAGTGTTAAACAAAAAAATAACAGGCAAAGCTTTTGATAATTTCGTGATTAATGAAACGAACTTTCGAAGATTAACACTGTCTTTACGGGTTTTGTGTTCGTGGCTGTGTCCACCGCCTTGCTCATGATCATGGTTATGAGGCATGGCGAAAACCTCAAAATAAACAGTCATATACTTGCTTGCTTCAATCTGATGAATACGTTTATAATTTAAAAAACTCACTTTTATACATATTTCTTCTATCAAATATACTAGGAAAAATCCGACGCATGTGAAGAACTGTGGCAATGGGAACTCTACTACGGCTCCCGAGTCATGTATAAACCTCTCATAGTTTTCACTGATCAAGAACATGGGTATAAAGTTAATGAATATCAAGCATACTTTATATGAGGAATAATATCTAAGAAACAAGTTCCCATGAAGACTCCTCCAGAGAAGCAAGACAACATGGATAACCATTTAGCACTTTTCCCTTTATTGTCCTTCTTGTCCAATACACGGAGAAGCTTTAAAATAACTTTTGTTTGATTTAGAAACAACTTTATTACCTTGATTGGTATGAATCCAGCTATTGCTGTCGTCAAAAACATGGCAATCGCCAGAAATATTTGTAAAGTCGCTGAGTCCATAACTGCAAAATTGGCAAAGATTTCAAAAATCAAAGAATTTTCACGTAATAAAGACGAAATGGAAAAAAAACGAACAAATAACGTTTTAATATTAAAAATTTGTAGAAAAACCAGCTTTGTTCTGCCGTTATTTCCGGTCTCGAAAGGAACCAGATATACACATAGATATAAGCTCAAGAGGAAGGAATCTGTATAGATGAGGGAAACATTTAAAAGTTCTGGGAAGCAAGCGGAATTCGTATGTGTTAGGAATGGTTGGCTTTTGTAGATTTTCCACCACTCCCTTCTACCCCCCCTCTCTCTCTCTCTGTTTCTGAAGTTTAGTGTTTTCTATTTGAATGTTTCATAAATCCTCTTCTTTGGATGAAAAAAAGGCTTGTCATGATCAAAACGAAACTTTTAAATCGTCAATGATCGAACGAAAAATGAAATAAACTAAAATTAGAAAGAGAAGGAATTATTGAGAAGAAATGATTGATTGTGAGCACATTGGTCAAAAAAGGATCTTATCAAAGCACAAAATACACAAGACCCTCTCTAGATATGAATGTATGATATTAAGCTCCGCCTTTTTGGCACCTTTTCTACTTTTTTCTTTTGAAACAAAGAGATTAAGAAGCTGGAGGCTCGATGAGAAATGTAAAACTATAAAGTTAATGTTAAAACTGATGAATTCAAAGAGTTTCTTCTTCATTTGAATGTTTGTGCTCATTGTTGAATGAGGACAAATATGGTAAGACCATTTCTTCTCTTTTCATCATTTCCTTTCTTTCTTCCTCCTCTTATTTTCCTTTTTTTCTCTCATTATTTTATTTTATTTCTCAGCTGATGACGATGAAACATTACATGACCATAGTTGTCGTCAACCGAAAACAATCGAGGAATACAGTCAGAGATGATCGCAATTCTCGTTAAATATGAAAATAAATATTTCTCATATTTGTGCGAACCAAATCTTCTCATACTTTTTGAAAATCAGGATTTTCGGTAGAAAGTAGAAAAACTCTGACGTCATTATCATAGACTACATTGATGCGGGAAGAAAACATAGGAAGAGATGGGAAACTATCTATAGAAATGCGAACGAAAGGTTATCTGATGGACGAACAACGTCTATCTCCCAAAGACACTATGAATTAAATTTATTGCAGAATATTATAATTTTATTTTTCTCGTTCGAAATTTATTTGAAAACAACGAAAAGGAAGAGAAGTTGGAAGCTGAGAGATAAGAAGTTTCTTAGACATCGAATTGCTTAAATACTGCAATTCACAATTATTTTTTCTTGTGTACTTCTAATACGTCATTATTTAAGTTCATAAAGATCGTTTGGGACGATGTTCAAAGCGAAATTCTCGATGAAGATTAGCATTCATCATGACGATGTCGCAAGTAGCTGATTGACTTTAATAACCAAATTTTTATACTACAAAAAGATGAAATACTGTATAAATTTCTTCCCATTCTACAAATTTTCTCTCATTCTCTCTTCCTCTCAAAAGGCATTGTTCCTCTAATAATTTTATTTTTCACTTTTCTCTTCTTTCCAATCCCTTCCTAACCTTTTTGACAATCTACCTCTCTTCCTCCGTAATTCTGTATTTTTGAATGACAGATCATTCTCTCTGTTGTAATTATTCAAAAGCGATTTAGGGATGAGACGAAACAAAATATGATCATGGCCTATGATCATCGTTGGAAAACATGTAGACGTGCCAATCGAGAGAACCATACAGAATGTGCACAGTTCACTAGCTTTTCCCATTTGATAAGATAATTATTAAAAGACATGAATTGTTTGTTTTTTTTCTGAATATTCCGTAAAATGATGATAACAACGAATATGGTCTTGAACAATGGGGTGAGATCAAGAAAGAGCTGGAAAGATCGGAGTTGCAATAGTATGTGTACAGAACATAATTTCCACAAAACTTATCGAAGAGAGTGCAAGAAGGGAAAGAAAACAAGAAAAAACAAATGCTTAGTCATATGAATTGTTCGGAAAAATGAAAAACTGCAGAGAAAACTGTCTTCTATTCCGAACAGAACGTTTTAGGACATGAAAAGTTATCGTTTTCTTCATGACTTATCAACCTTTTTTTCTTCTTTTGAATGTTTCTTTGATGAGACGGTTTCTATGAAGAAGAAAACATATAAAAACGCTTATGCTCATCAATGATTGAATGAAAACAATTTTTTAAATTATAAGCCTCCTGATAAGCCATAAAATTGAGTTTGAGATTATCAGCCTTCCTACAGTTAGAGAGACATGTAGATAGAAGTTACTGTTCAAATGGTCTGCACAATAATGAACACAGAGATTTGTGATCATTCCTCTACAACAAAAATAGAGAGAGAGAGAGAGAGAGAGAGAGAGAGAGAGAGA